TATAATCCAAACCCATTAGCATCTAACTGACAAATTTCTGTAGCAACATCGTTTGTGTAAACTAAAAAAGATATTTAAGAGAAACTCACACTGCCAGTTTAGGAAACAAACTGCTTGCAGAACTGATAGTGGCAAAAGAAAACATTACCTAAGAGTGTTGCATTTTGCAGATCTTTAAGAATAAAGAGTAAGTTAGATGCTGGGAAGTTGCAATTTAAATATCAATAAAGACCTGCCCTCCTCCCTTCCCTCAAAGAACAGATCCTGAGATGATGGAACTGTAAGAAAGGAAAAGATGACCCATGCCAGCTCTGCCATTACTATTCCCAAATAAGCAGTTCCCCAACACTGAAGAGTCCTTGTCCTTTGTAGCAGGAGCTCAGGCGTCCCCAGCAACCAACATAATGCAACAATGAATAGTGGCTGACACATAATTTCATGCTACATATAAGACTTATAGCTGAGAAAGCATCCATATTTTTTTCTAGCAGCAGCAGCCACATTAGCAGTTAATTCCTGAATAAGAGATGCTTCAGCTGTCAGGGACCATCACAATGGCAGAAAGCCACAAGCACAGAAAAGAACAGAGTGATTAATGGGTTTGGACCATCCTTGTTTTCAAAAGCACTCCCAACTATCTGAGGTAAAATGCCAACATATTCTTAGGTCAGATGAATGCTGCAAAGCAGCATGCAAATATCAAGAACTCTAATGTTTCCCAGCTCGCTGCTTTCTCATGTAATGTGAATGATATTGAGAGAAATTGACAGCTCCTGCTCTCCCAGGCACGCCAGCAGAATACACGGATTTGACATTTGCCAGCAGTGACTATTAAAGAGCTGGATGATTTGTGCATGTTTCCCAAGAGCAAAGGAAACGTTTTCCCCGTGAGACACTGAGATCTGATGGACTATCAAAACAACTGGAACCAATCCATAATTGGGTTGGTGACTGTGTATCAGTTCTATCATATTGTTATTAGAGGCTAAGTTCCCTGACATTCTCTTTTCCTGAAGTTCCAGCCATGAATAATGTGAATAAATTCAGAAATTTCATGAGTTTCCATAGCTTCCCAGTGGGAGAGGGGAGAACTGTAGAACATGGGAGGAAAAGACCTCAGCACACTTGTGTTATCAACAACACACCAACTTATCTACACCACATGTGGAGATTTTAATATCTTTTACTGCCCAGAGCACCATTTTCTTTGATTGTTTGTTTACTACTTATTTCCAGAAATAGTAACTTAAGTGTTATTTCAATCAAGATGGCAGAAAAATTTTTTTTCTGCTAAACTCTTTGTATAATCATCAAATTAAAACATAAGAATAATCAGAGAACAAATATATAAACATGCCATTCTCACAGAGGGGTTTGTTTTGCAAAATATGTGTCATAGCTAAATATTTCTCCCATTTATTAAATACTTGCTCAAGACAGTCTTAGATTTTATGTTAACTTTTACTTCTGAATTCCTATCAAGTCCTATGCAAGGAAGGGTCATTTCGTCTGCTTTGTAGTCAAAGGAGCGAAAAGAAAGCATAAAAATTTAAAGTAATATTAGAAATTAAATGCAAATTCTCATTTAAAGCAGTCATTAAAAGAACATTAATGCACTTTTGTATGTTCCATTTAATAGAATCTGTGCACACAGTAAATCATTGCATGGCAACCATATCTCTTCAGTTTTCTTTACAGTTATATCTAATCTTGCTTTGTTATAAAAAAATTATTTCCTGTTGTCTTTCAAATGTTTTCTGTAAAGCAGCCAAATCCAACAATATTTGTTCTCTAGCCAACATTCACTCTCTTTTAAAGCATGAAAGTCATTATTATTTAGGGCTAAGTATGGGCTACATGAATCAATCCTACTGCCTTTTTAGCCCTTGATTTAGAAAAGCAAAATACTACAGAGCCTAAGTAAAATGATTTGGGGTTGTATGGCCAGGTTTTGGTACTGGGGGGCTACAGGGGTGGCTTTGAGAAGCTGCTGGAAGCTTCCTCTCCTCCTCTATCAGAGCCAACGCCAGCCAGCCCCAAAACAGATGTGCCACTGACCAAGGCTGGGCCAACCAGAAATGGTGGCAATACCTCTGTGGGAATATACTTAAGAATTAAAGAAAAAATTACAGCACAGATGTAATTGCAGGCAGAGAGGAGCAGGATGAGAACATGAGAGGAGCAGCCCTGCAGACACCAAGGCCAGAGCAGAGGGAGCGGCAGGAGCTGCTCCAGGGGCTGGAGCTGAGGTTCCCCTGCAGCCCCTGGTGAGACCGGGGTGAGGCAGCTGTGCCCTGCAGCCCCTGGAGGGCACAGGGATGCAGAGATCCACCTGCAGCCCACGGAGGGGACCCAAAATGGAGCAGGGGGATGCTGAGAGGAGGCTGTGAACCCATGGGAGACCTGTGCTGGAGCAGGGTCCTGGCTGGGAGCTGCAGAGCTGTGCAGAGAGGAGCCCACCCTGGAGCAGGTTTCCTGGCAGCACTTGTGACCCTGTGGGGGACCCAGGCTGGAGCAGGCTGTGCCTGAGGGACTGACCCCGTGGAAGAGGAACACATGCTGCAGCAGTCTGGGGAGGACTCTTGTCCATGGGATGGACTCATGCTGAAGAAGTTCATGGAGAACTGTCTACCATAGAAGGGTGGAGCAGGGGAAGGACTCCTCTCCTTGAGCAGAAGCAGAAACAACGTGTGATGAACTGACCATAACTCCCATTCCCTGTCTCCCTCCACTGCTGAGGGAAGAAGTAGAGCTAGGAATGAGGGAGGGGTGAAGGGAAGGTGTTTTAAGGCTGTATTTTAGTTCTCATTATCTTGCTTTGATTTTTTAGTAATAAATTTAATTAATATCTCTCAGTCAAGTCTGTTTCACTCATGAGGGTATTTGGTGAGTGATCTCTCTTTTATTCTTATCTCAACTCATGAACCTTTTATGACATTTTCTCTCTCCCTCCCCGCCGCAGGGGGGAGTGACAGAGAGGCTTTGGTGGATGCTTCACATCCAGCCTGGGTCACCACTATGGAGCGTTTTTCTCTTCAATACTCCTGCTTTGAAACATGCCTAGAACTAGTTCTGCTTAAAAGGCTTTTCTTCTAAGTAGCTGTAAATTATTTTACCAACCTCTGAAAATCTTGACTTGCTTATTTTAATAATATCCCAGAACACAGGAGTTGAAGTTCAAAAGTTTAGTTAAAATAATTTTAAAGTACATATTATCACTTTGAAAATGGAAATCTAAAGAGAGAACACCTGACAAATTAATACATTTTCAGCAACAGATACTGTGAGATTTCACGGCCTATTAAACAGTCCAGGAACTTTTTCAAGACCAGTTAGCTTTTATAGGTGCTATAAAAGGTTATAGGTTCCATTGTTTTATTATTAAAGATCGAGAAGACCCTGAAATCTTGTCTATCTAAAAGACTCAAATTAACAAAGCAGTTTAAATTCATTAGATACACAGTTTGAAACAAACTGCTCAAATGCTTAGATGATTAGTTGAATCAGGTTTGAAGTTTGAACACGTTGCACAGGGCTCCCATGGGGGCTGGCAGGAATGAGGGGAAGATATGCAGAGAACAAGAAATTGCAGCTACATATTATTGCAGAGTGCTATATCAAAGCACATAATAATACTAACAGTATTACCCAGACTTGGATAAATGCATTCAAGTCTGGATAAATTATCATGGACTTTATTAGAAGAGTAAGGAAATGGTCAGGATTACAGAATTGGGTGCTTATTCAGACTTTTCTAAGTGAAGGAAAGAGCTCTTTCTGGTTATGATAAAAGTAATTTAATCTGAAAGGCAATGTGAATAATATTGCCACGCTGACCAATGACACACACATAATTCTTTTCTTTCTGATGCTGTGTTATTTTATCCAGTTTTGCTCAGGTTTTTATCACCTGCTCCTAAAGCCCACCCACAACTCAGCTGCCTGTCAGGCATATACATTATTAAGCTGGCATATACATTAGCAAACGAGTTCTGTCCTTTAACAAATACCTTGGTTCTACATTTTAAAACGTAGCAACAATTCTAAAATGATCTGACATTCCACAGCATGAATTTATTCACCCTCATGAGCAGGAATGGCTGTTAAGGTTACTTAGATGACTTTTATTTGCTATCTTTTTTTAAAAAATACATTCCATTTGCCTTTAAATTGAGGATCATATTCTTTATTTCCTTTTAATGGCAAATATAGAAAAAAATTCATTACACAGGAGGAACTTTATTTCTCTATAACAGGGTCTGAGAAGCTGCTAGTTCATCATATAAAAAGTTATTAAAACTAAATATTGTGCCTGCTCAGAAGGTACATTTCAGACTTGATCATAAGCTTAAATTATCCTTTTCCTGTAATTACAGCAAGCTTTAACACAGATTTAGGAACCACACTCCACATAACAATTAAATCCTAGAATTAAATAAAATTAGCAAGAAATAGATTCTTGGCAGACAATCTATAATGAAAAATATAAAATATTAACCAGCAAGCAACAATAGCTTAAAGATCCATAACCCTTGCATCAAAATAATATAAAGTTTAGTTTTATGTTTAGAAAAAAAGCTTTTTCTAAGCTGCAGGGTAGAATTATTTATCCCTCAAAATAGTTACTTTAGTGGAAATAACAAATACAGGAATGCCTTTAGTCACAACAGTGCTTATCTTCTTCCTCTTGCACACACTCTCTCATCCCATCCCTGGCAGAGCTGAACAAGAGATGAATTACCAGCAGATACAAATGAGATCTTGAAACAAGACGTTAAGACAGACACTTAGATGAATTTTACCTTAGAGATCAAAGCGGACTTTTTTAGTTTTGAATTGTAATTCAGTTGAAAAAAAATAAATAAATGGTTATCTTCCATTTTCATTTTTTTCAGAGGATTCTTGTGTTCCTTTACCCAACCCTTGTGAGTTCTGTGTCTTAGATCCACCTTGGTCAGTCTGGAACCTTCCCCCAGGTGACTTTGAACAGTACACATTACCTGTTTTCTTCCTGGTCAATGAAGAGCATTTCCCCCAAAAATGACATTGGCTTGGATGAACTGAAACTGACACGGCAAGTCAGTTCATTAGTTGTTCCATCTGATGAAAGAAAAATATCTTGTCCCTCTGGGAACTGCACAGAAAAAGGGAGAGTTCTGGTACCATCTGCAAGTTCAAGCTCAGGAAGTTTAACTCTAATTCGTGATTGTCTGTGTAAACATAAATAGTAGGTGTTTGTGGTCACAGGATTGCAGTAATAAAGTAATTTCATAAATTCACATATTCACAAAACTCTTTCACAGTTGAATACAGAATAATAACTTTATTTACAGAATAATAACTTTAGTTCTAAAGTGCAAATCAAATCAAACTAATTTAAAAAATAAAATTCTTCCATCATTCAGATGCTAGTTTGTTTTCTTTGTATGTACCTGAACATTTCATGCAGACCCACAATATGTGAACCCCCACATGTAATTTTTACTAACTGTGCTACAAAAGGCATAAAGAGTTTTCTGAAACGTAAAACTTTCATTAGTGTTCATTAAATTGCACTGTTGCACAAATAAGTTAAAGCAAGTTATAAAATAGAAATATTAAAGGGAAATTTGTGGAGATGCTGAAAATGCTTCAGTATGTAGTTATGTAGTTTTAGGTTTCAGTTCTGAAATAAGAACAGCAGTCAATCCAGGCCCATGTGGAATCCCTTCATTTCCAACCACTGAGCTAATGACAACAGACAAATCACATGAAAAATCAGCAAAACCCAGACAAGACAATAGTAATTTGAAGGTAAGTTAATTAATTTACAACAAAAGGAAAACTTTGCTCTAATTCTAGCATTGAAATGATACCTACATAAGCATAGCAAACAAATATTACTGCTCTTTACTAATTACAACCAGAAAAGTTGAATTTTAAAAATTTGAATAGTTGCAATGCTAAGTTATACTACATTATACAAAGACTACAAAAAGTCTCTCCTTTAAAATCAGTTAACAGGGTAAACTGAGTGATCCACAGGCAAATAAAAAATATGTAGATTTTTTTATTGTAACAAGTGGCAGGATTAAAACATTTCTGCTGTCCTTTTCAATAAAACCTCACATAGAAAGAAGGAAAAAAAACACCAAAAACTGCAACCCCACCAACTGTTCAAGCAGCTAAACCTCAAACCAGTGGAGTAGAAAAAATAACAGAAAGACTTTATGTTATCACAATGTGAAAAACAGAAATAAGATTTCAAATCTTAGTCTCTGGCTAAATGCAACAAAAATCCTAGTAAGTCTCTAGTTTTAATTTTTTGCTATCCATAGTAATTTTATATTTCTGATATAAATTCATAGAGTGAAGATATCAGAAGACACTTCATGAAACAGGAATGTTTGAGGACAAAACATAGGCTTGTTGAATACTCAACAACATTAATTTCCATTAAATATACAGATTGTTCTGATAAGCAGAAAATTAATATTAATCTTCATGAACAAATACTAATTCACTTTTTCAGAAGTGAAGAAAACAAAGAATTATTCAGGACTTCTGTAATAAATTTACTTTCAGATTTTTACCTTAAAAAATCCTGTGGAATGATGGTGACCACTGCTTCAGTTTCCACACCCAGAGGAACTGGCATCAGCATTAAAAAGGGGGGATGAAAATCTATTTTTGGCATCCTCAGCGTCCCAGACAATTTCAGCACGTACTGTGATGGATCATCATCTAGATACATGGATATTTCAGATGTGTATGTCCCAGGACAAGCTGTTGAAAAGGTTTAAAAATACATATATTACCATAAATACAAAAATGTAAAAGAGTTTCAGTAAGAAATTTGGGGTTGGAATTTTTGTTTGTAATTAAATTATTTTTTTAAATACCGTACAGCTTTCTTTATCAAACTGTAGTTTAACATAATATAAATATTGTGTCAGAAGTGTATTTATTAAGAAAGCTCAGAACACTTGCCCTGTAGCAAACCAGAAATTCGCATCTTTTTAACTTGTCAGAACTTTTTCTACATCTGAATTGTAACTGCAATAAATGAGTTTATTGCATTAATATTCCATTATATGTAATATCAATACAACAGCAGAATTTTAAGAACTGCAGTCATACTTCTAATTACAGTAATTTGTTAGACACAGTGAATGCTTATGTTACAAAGGAGTAACTATTGGAAGCATCCAACTGCCAAGACAAGGAAAAGTTGGTGCCTTTTAAGAGGCACTCCAAAGATGGATATAGGTTTATATTCAACCTATAGTGTGGCCAAGTAACCCCACACAATCCAGCAGGAGGTTCTACCCTCCACTCAAACCATCACCCTTCTCAGAGAATCATTTAGGTTGGAGAAAATCTTAAAGATTATCAAATCCAACTGCAACCTTAACAATTGTCAAGTCCACAAAAAAAAAAAAGGGAAGGGATGACCAAATATCCCTCTCTAGGCGCTCTCTACAGCACAGCTGGACATGACAATAGCAAAGAGAAAGATTTCCTTGTGTTCTTCTCAGGCTGCCAAGTGCTGCAAGGCAGCTCTCTCTAAGATGGAAGAACACTTTTTTTTTCCCACTGATACAGGGAACAAAGTATTTCCTCACACACCTGTTACACTATGGAAATGATATTCCAAACCATGCAGTGCTATTTACCCAACCCTCAGTCATTCTCATCTGCTGAAGAGCTATCAAAATAAGCAATTTTGAGGGCAAACTAATGAACAACTGGATTTAGAAATAAATCTGCAATGATGAGTTGTAAAACAGCCCAAGAAGTTTAATCTTTGAATTTTTGAGAAAAAACACCTTTTCCTTTGATTTACCTCAATTAGATCAGTATGGAAACACCCTCCCCTATTAATTAAAATAGCAAAAAAAAAATTTTGTATTTGATGTGTCTGCATGAACACATACATGCCACAGAACAAAACACATGACAGGGTCTTCTGAGATTATCTCAGATCGCTTTCACAGTCTGAGAAAGAGCTATCACTGTTTACCTACAAAAAGAAGAAAATTTATTGTCTTCAAAGTACTTTTTCTTTCTCCCCTCCTGTAAGAGCTAATTTCCTAATGAGGCAGCAGTGGAAGAGCTGCCCAGAAGCTGTTATGTCACCAGAACATGACCTGTGGATCCCTTCATTTCAAACCAGCAAACATGAAAATGGAAAACTGAAAATCAGCTCTAATGGGAATCTGCTGCACTTTTTGCAACATCTGACTAATTCTGTGTTAAATGCAAATCAGCTGTAGGAGACAATACTGCTGAGGAGGTTAAAAAGACTCTGCCTCTAGGTTCTGATACAACAGGAACACTTCCTCTGGCATTTTGCCCTTTCATGAAGCAGAGAAAGCATCAGAAAAAAGTCATGGAGATGGATGAAGAGCCAAACAGGGTATTTCTTAAGAGCTTTAAGAAAGGATGTTCTATACCAGCTCCTCCCATGCACGAGCCTGTCCTACAGCTGGGCTGTAACTGAACCATATTTCTGGTGTCTTCCCTTCATCCATATGTATGATAAGGTGAAGTGAAAGGGCCTGACTAGTAAATACCATAGGGGTGGAACACAATGAAGGAAGAAAAGTAGAGGAGGATATGTCAGTACCAAAGAATGTGCAATTTTCACTAACTCACATTGTATTAATATTTGTATTAATCATAGTTTCACATTTAGACAATAGTACTGTTAAGCTTTTCTCATACAAATTTTTTAATGCCATAGAATTTCTGGCTCACCCAAAAAGCAGAACAGACAGTGCCTAGCCTGCATCACTGATCATTCTGTCTGTCTGGATCCACACATTTACTAACACCAAAATTCAGCATAGTATGTAAACCAATAAATTATTGCTAATGTCAGAAACACCAGGACAATGCAATATAATGATCATTTTAAACAGACAGACAAAAAAAAGGTGAATTCTGACATTTACAAAGATTTGTTCATTAGTTCAGAATTAGTTCAGAATTTGTTCATCAGTTCAGAATGCCTAGGACCAGAGTTTTCAGGATATTTCATATTAAATAAATTACTTAGAAATTAATGAGAATTATGTCCTGAACTGACAGCTAAAGCCATGAATTTATTCTACTCCTCACACCTTTCATGACCGCTCTCAAAGCCTGGGCTGCTGTTACCATTCTGATATAACACCATTAATTTCTAGTCCAGCAGATGTGAACATTTTCCTTAGGGATATTTCATGGTACTTAAAAATTAGTCAATCTAAATCTGCCAAAGGCTAAACAAAGTCTGTATAATTATGTGGGAAATTTTTTTTCTTCTCCAGAAATACTAACTCTATAAGATATTTTCAGAGTTTATGAGAAGGAAAAACACCTTCTGCTTTTCTCACTTTCTTAAGTTGGTATTATATGGTTATGCAGTTCCTGCATTTGTCACCCAAAAGCACATTTTTAGTTTAGCTGCCTTGGATCTTATGATAATTCAGGTGTTATTGCATCTTTATCCCTTTAACATTAATAGAAAGCATTGAGCAATTTGCATACAGCAAAATACAGACTTCAAAGCAGAAAAGCCACAGATAGCTAGAATTTACAGGTGGTCCTACAAAAAAAAAAAAGAAAAAAAATCAAAAGTAAACAAATAATTTCTCCACAGAATTTGTTAGAGGTCACAGCTAGTTAATATCTTGTTGTTGCAGAAAAATAATTTAAAAAAAAAGACCACACAATTAAAGTATCAAAGTTATCATTCATGCCCATTACACAATCACCACATCTTCCAGTGTCTATGAACTCCCAGTAAGGGAACCCAAGAGCATAAATTCACTGTAACTTCTTTTGCTGCAGGTAAGTTTTTTCATATCACAATTATATATAGTGAAACATTTTTTAGACTGTTAATGTATTGTACCATAAAACAGCAGAAGAGGATCATATGTTAATGTCTTCAATTCTTGAAAATCTCTATTTTTAGAATACTCTTTTAACAGGTAGGATGATTTTACTACCAGCATAACCTCTTTCATTTAATTAAACATTGCAGTTTATTACAGCATTTTGTACTCTATCATAACTGCTGCAGCATATTTAAATAAATTACCCTAATGCACACTCAAAATTCATTTTCAGGTTTGTTCACCACCCCCCCACATACTACAACTTTGCAGCACGAGGCTATGAAAGTGATTAGCACCCCATGTTCATTAACTAGGTCTCCTGTGTGGGTTTTGGTGTATCTAATGGTCTCTTACAAGAAAGAGTAATGATATGCACTGAAAGTACAGCACAAGTAGGCTGTAAATCATGGGAAAATACTTAGAACATTGAATTAAGGGTAATTGATCTTTACAGTTATTTATTCTTGTCTGTAAACAAAAGATATGGGAACACAGCAAAAATACTGATAACTTCAAATTACAGTAATTTATCAGTCATATTTATGTATATATACATCTGCATTTACACATACAATTTATCCAGTAATTCAAAATATTAGCTTTTATTTTTCTGCTGTTCTCTGCAACAAGCAGCTCCAAGCAACACATCCAATTAAACACTGCTCTTGAATATTCACAACATTTACAGAACAGTATTTAATGCAGTCTTCTCAATTTATCATACAGAGTCATGGCAAGAGTCCTCTATTTTTCTTTATTTATATTAAATTGTGCTTAATTGAGGTTAGAGATTTCAGTACTGTGATAAAGAATAACAACATCTTTTGTTAACACAGGGATGCTCAGTTGCTGACTCCGCATCAGATCCAACTGGCACAACAACTTTTCTTCCCCTTGACAATGTTGCAGCCCCAAAAGTGCACTGCAACTGAAACTGTGCCCAGGATGGGGTCCTGTGGGCATCAGCTGCATTTGCTGGTGAGATTTATCAGCTCAAATACAGTGTTACACACTATGAATCTGTGAATCTTGCATATCACTGTCTATTCCAAACACTTGGCTGGGAAAGAAGGAGAATCTTAATCTTCCTGTTGTTGTATTCCTTTTCTGGAGTTATGTGGTTGATTACCATCTTACTTCATTCTCCCAAGTTTTGTTAGAAATCTATTTTACATATTTTTCTTAGGGACAGGTTGCCTGACCAGTCTACTCCAAAAAATATTATAGACAAGTGATTTTACATCTTACTGAAGCAGGAAATTTCTATTCTTATCTAAATTATGGCTATTTAGAGAAAAGTTAAAAAGCATTCCAAGTACCCTTGGAAAGTTTTACTACCTAAGTCAGTCAACCTAAAGGCACCTGAAGTAGCAGCACTGAAAATGATACAGCTATCCCAGTCCTTGATGTTTTATGTGTGAAAAACCTGGTGCTTCCTATGTGCAAAGCAGACTTTTAAAGTAATGCAATTTCAAAACAGTGATTCCATGCTTTTTGTTAGGTCTGCAGCTGTCTTATGGTCTCAGAACCAAAAAAAAACCTTCAGCTTATCAAAGTATGTACTAGTGTTGATTCATCATAAAACCTCATTTAAGCATACCTAAGCAAATGGCCAATCTATAGAAGAATTCATAAAATCACTTACGAGGGTGGAACGACACAGTAATACTGACTTCTTTTTCTTTATACACACATCCACGCTTCAGACTAAATCTGAAAATACCATCTTCTATATTTTTGTCTGCATCATCAAAATTCAATTTCCAAATCAGAGTCTCTTTTGTGAGATTCTTCAGGACAAGGTTCTGTAAATATTTTCAGAAAAGGAGTGATGTTGAAAGAGGGAAAGCAGCAAACACTGTGATACTTTTCACATTGCTCTCTCCTAACCATTCTTTGTGCAAACACACCAGAGGGAAAGCAAGACAGCACTAGAAAGCAGTGAAGAGCTCAGTTTATTATATCTGTGGGGTGCAAAGGTGAGTATGCCTATCTGCACAGACCAGATGCTTTCCAGTCACTCACCACATTCACAAAGAGAATACTTTATTTCCAGAATGGAAAAACCTCATTTAAGTGAGGTAAATAGATCAAAGCATCACAGTGGGAGGGCTCAGCCAAACAGAATTGAGGACTTATTCCCGAAAAAAAAGATACACGGCAAGCGCTAAACACATGGCTCACATCAAGACTTACAGGTGGAGATGTTGAAAATGGAAGAAGTTCAGAATCAATTTTCAAAACCCATTCTTTCTATTCAATAAGATGACAGTGGAAACAAAAAATAAAATTAAATTCCTTTATCCCAGAGGTACTCTCTCAGCTTTTGAAACATGCCTAGCTGGGAATATGACTTGGCTTTGTATTGTTATTGTTTCCTGAATGCACGTGAAAAAGCATTTCAAGTGTTTCCATCATTGCCACAAATAATTTTTACTAATTTCTAACCAAAGCCCTCAGGAATTACAAACAATAAATTACGTTATGGTATGTTTTGCATTCATATGAATTACCTGTGTTGCAAATATTATATTTAGTTCCTTTTTTCCCTATTAAGCCATAAGTCATGAGAAGGAATTTTTTGTGAGAGTGTCAGTTGGCACAGCACCATACAAGGCACTGGAACAGCAGTTTCACTGTATGGCCCATCATGGCACAAATCAGTTGCATCCTGGCACCATCACTGTCTCATTTACTGGTATAGGCAGATGCAAAAAATCTTCAGAATTATTCTATTCATATTTATTTCTTACACAATTCATGGTCAATTTCTCATAGTACCCACATTTTCATACTGTCAGAGTTAGTACAAGACAAATTTTAAATTTTGGGAAAAAAATTATCAAAATCAAAAAATGAACAAAATGACAAAGACAATAATGACAACATCATTACCTGAGAATTCATACTCCCACGAGCAGTACTGGAACACATGTTACTTGAATGTTGTTCAAATTTAAATTCCATTGAGGAGAACTCCAATACTTGTTGAGTAACTATTGAAAAAAACAATTTAAAATGTTTATCAGCATCATTTGACAAATATTTTCTCAAAGTACCGTCATAAAACCATTTTTACTGTACATGCTTAGGTAAAATATTTCTCCCCTTTTTGTTGCTCCCATACTATATACACAATTACTGTAATTTAATTTTGTCTTATTATGATTCTTTAGTCACATTAAAGTTATTTAAATTTTATATCTACCAGACTTATAGTACCTCTCCATATCACAAGAGCCACACAATCTTCCTTCTGCAGATGAATGCACCTACATTGCTGATAGTAACCATTACATAAGACTTGGAAGATTTTATATAAACAGCATTTCTCTTTATTTCATAGAGCTGCAACAAAGAAATCATCACAACATATGAAATTCAAAAGTGGGAGTTTGGAAAAAAAGAAGTATGTGCTCCCACAGCCTCATTTTATTGTTTGGAAATAACACTGGAAATTAATCTAGCAAGACAGGATCCTTTTAATAAAATCTGCACATCTGCTCCATGCCCAGTGTTGATCGATTCTCTTCTCCTCCTAAAAAACCCAAAGAATTTCCCAACCACATATATCACAATATGTAAACAACAATATTATCTGTATTTCTCAATCATAGGCATAGTATTGTTTCAAAGTTGGAACAGAATCTGCTGGAACTCTTCCACCAACACACAACTATGTCACTCACTAAGTTTTGAGCTCACAAAGTCATCAGCTCTCTCAGAAACTGCCTGGAACAGGAGAATGGAGCACAACTAAAACTGCCAGGGAAAGGAGATTATCTACCCAACCAAAAAACCTGTGAGTTGGATTATTACAACGTATATCAGTTCCCATGAGCTACATTGATAGTAAAAACTTTTTCTTTGTACCAGGTCTAGATTAGACTTGTGTCTTTTCCAGTTGAGTTCTCTGTTCTGGTTTATTTGACATTTTTCTCTTTCAGTTCTTTCTTGCATACAGATAAACACTATCCCAGAGAAAATTCTTATAAGTATTTAAGTAAGATACTTGCTTTCCTTCCCAAGTGCTGAAACCATCTCCAAATTTTGTGTAAAAAAAACAACAAAGAACAGATTCCTGATGGATTGAAAACATATGGACTACACTGAAGTTAAAAGACTGGACTGACTACCCCAAGAGTAAGGTGATTCTTTTCTCACGGTGAGCAATCCTAAGTATAAACAGCAAATATAAGATACTGATTTAAGTGCCAACCACACTGTCCCATACAGTCTGAACTCCACTAAATCACTAAAACTATCCCAGGAAAATAAAAATTCTAAAGGCAGAAAACAAATGTGCCAGAAAGCATTCAGCAGTGAGAGTTAGGCGTATTTGTTAAATCAGAACTTAGAACTTGCAAGATACACCTCACTCAGTTTTAGCTTTTAATGTGATAATCTGAAATTATTTAATAACAGACATAATTTTTAAATTGTCAGAATGTAATCAATTCATCAAGTTCTTTTTTTAACAGTAAAAATAATCTGGCTATTTGCCTGCACCCATGTGATTATCTGAAATACTGAGTGGTCAAGAGACTTATTAAGGCTTCTCTGCTTCCTTTCAGACCATTAAGATTCCTAGTAAGAATTTAATTTCAATATTCAAATTTTAATAGGAGCCACACTATTTTTTCCACTATTTCTTAGACGTTAAAGTATTATATATTCACTTTTATATTATGTTACTCCTTGTTGGCTGATACATATACTTTGAAGAAATTCTACACAGCAGAAATACAAACTTGTATTATCATAGTAACTTTAAAAATACTGTATTTTATATTAAAATAATACATATTATTGCTATTATTATAAAAATTATAAAAGTTTTATAAGATTGTCAATTATCCATGAAATTTAGTGATTGCATCTATTCTGCAAAGAAAGGAAAAAGGAAATAAACATTTTCTTTACATCACTTAAATCACTTCTGCACTATAAATTTGTGACTTGGATTCATATTTTTACTTAGAGATGTGTTTCCTAATAATCTCATATACACATGTACATTCACCTTTATTCTATATTTTCTCCAATTAAATGTATTTTAGAATCATTTAATCTGAATTTACTTTCTAGATAGGATAGACAGGATCTAAAGAAGGTCTCTCAGATTTCTTTGATCTTTTTTTTGAAAGATCTCAAAAGACTTAAAGTTACAGAGGAAAAAAAAAGGTAAAAGAAAAAACCCAAAACAAATATAGACAAATCCTAATAAATCTGAGTTGCTTTAACCCCACATTACATATTTAATTGGCCAAGCTTTCTTCAGTGCTCCCAAGAGGTTTAAACATTACACAAACATCATTCTAGGAAGACACTCTGTACTTCACTCCCATCTCAAATAAAAAGTGGTTATACATTAAAAACTGAGATTAAGAAAGCCAGTATATTCAAATATTCACAATATATAGATTTACATATCAGTAAGAATAAGACAGGAGACTAAAGAGAACCACAAATTATTTCTGAGAAAAGCAGACAAGAATTATATAAGATATCAATTTCTTTGCTGCAGGAAATGGCCTGTAACTTTGGCTATTAACAACCTCTGACAAGCCAGATGGGATGAGGGCCATTCAGACACATTTTAAAGGAGTTTTAAATGCAGTTAGAGATCCTAGTTTTGACAGGAAAATTCTACAAAATACTATGACTGGTATTCTACTTTTCTACACTTTTCTGAGCAACTGCTGTAACTACTGGGATTTCCGTGATGCAGTCTAGGAATGCTAATAAATGGATAGACACAAAAAAGAGTTTTGGTAAACTATTTTTATATAAGGCAAATACAAAAAAATGCCTTTTACAAAAAGCCTATACAAAAAATATTTTCTCCATGTCATGAGTAGGTATAGAAAGTTAAGCTTCAAGCATATTTAAAAACATGAATCAAAACTTGAAAATTTTGCAAGTTTCCAAGAAATGTACAAATTATACAAATTCCAATGAAGTAGCTATTCTCTGCAAAGCAAAAATATCACTCCAAATCTATGTGTCCAGCAGGTCTTTAAGGCCCTGGTTACTCACCAAGAGCTCTGACTTTACAGAGTGGAAGAGCTGGAGCCTCCGGGGGCGGATGAGGTGCGACTGCGCCGCGCTTCAGAGACACGGGAGGAACTGGAGGTGGGGTACTGGCCCGAGGAGTAGCAATTGGGAGAATGAAGTCATATGCTGCCATCTAAAGGAAAAAAAAATATTGTGGTCACTTTCCCAAAAAACCTCTTGAACCATCTGAGTGGATTGCTATTTTGGCAGAATTACTGCAGTTTTGGACCTGCTCATGATATTAACAGGATGTTCATTTATTGGAACTCAGAATCAGTTCTCTAAGTAAGCAGTGCCCAAGTATTTTTTTCCCCATTAAAGAAAAGCTCTATGACCAAAAGTTATCAGCAGAGCTACAGACAAGGCTTCTGATAAATCAGTGTTGTGTTCCACTCCTACCACTCTCATGACTGAAAAAAGATCAGAGACATGGCCCAATGTAGAAGCTTATTTGAGCAAAGAGGAGGGAAAACAAAGCTACATCAGTTATGGAAGCCTTCCTCAAAGGCTGAAGAGCAAAGGTCAGGCATTACAGTACCTCCAGCATAAACAAAGTGGGCTCTGAGATCAAAGGTGAAACAAGAGTTAAGATTGAGAAACCTTGGGGAAAAAATAAGTCTTAAAACCTTTGTCATGAGATGCCACTGAATTCTAGGAGTCTAAATTCCAGTGATTTTGATCCTCATTTTATGTGCTATCACATTCCCAAGTGAGGTTTAGAACTTAAAAAATGGTGTGTTTTGTACAGAATCCTCTCTTTTGATACACTGTGCATCAGAAAGGCCAAATTTATTTGAAAAAGCACTTTCTAAGAGATATTTCTTGCCTCTCACTGTGTCTTTCCAAGGACTGACACGCTAAGTTAGTATGTTCACCAGACAAAAGGTATGGATAACCTTAATAAAGGTAATGGGAAAAAAAAAAAAGAAAAAACACCCAAAACTTCTGCACTAAAAGCACTGTTAGAGTCCTTCAAATCCTCTTTTCACCTTGAAGGCCACTGAAATCTTAGAAAGGAATTAAACCTATAAAATCTTCATGCTGCTTAGAAAAAAGCAGTAAAACCAGCTGTATAAAGATGTTATGAATCGTTTAAAAGCTTTCAAAATCTGCAGAAAATAGTGCATCATTCTTCACTTTCATGTCTGTGGAAGCAAGTAGAATATATAAATATATATAAAAGGGAAGAAAAGCAGAAGTGTCCTAAGCCAGGGCATGAGGCTGTAACACCTGTAACACCATATCCATCTGTAACACCCTCTGAGAAGCAAGCACACAGAACTGGGAGTGTCTGGTGTTCCAGCAGGGTCTGTGAAACACAATTACACACTCCTGAAGAGTCAGGTGTGTGCTGAGCCTTGTGGAACATTATTTCTTCTTTTGCTTAGCTCAAGGAAAGCATGGAATGAGGGCAAGCTTTTGCAGCAAGATTATCACAGTCCCTTGTTTTACATTGATTCTTCAAATCCAATAATGATTAGATTTTATAACATATAACCGGCTTTTCAAAATTGACATTTAATCTTTTTTAGTAACTAAAGCTCAAGATATGTCAAAAAAAGATTGAGTAAAAATCTCCTGCTTTGAATTACACATATCTTCTATTTTTAGTACCTCAAGTCATCAACATAAAACACTTCATCAAGTTACATGTTCAAAATACATTCTTGTAACAAAAATAAATTTTATTGAATTTGGTGAGATTAAAATGTTTTGTCTATTACAGATTTCATGTCAGCACTGGCTGTGCAAAGGAGTGCAGTCTAGAACTACAGCTGTTATTCATCAACACTGGTATGTTTAGGCCAGACAGCAGAAGATGAAATCCCTTTATTCCTCTCCCAAAGCAGCAAATCATTACCTGTTTTTTATCCCAACTATCAGGAAAATTTGGTTTTACTTACTATAGAACAAGGGGTTTATTTTCTAAGAACTGGCAAATAAAAGCAAATACGTGGCAGACTCAATTCACTCACTGAAAAGCCATGTTTGCTATGAAGTACAAAGGCACAAATTCAGGGCAAACATAACTCATAGAAATGTATTTATATAATTGAGAACAAATCATCGATATTTTATTCATACATTAACTGCACATTATGTAAATTACACTATAAATGAAAAATCCTTCAAAATTCTGTGCAAGTAGATATCAGATTATAATTCATACACATACACATATTGCTGAAACAGAAATAAAAATTCATTTCAGTTATTGGGACTTCACTTTGCAAGTAGAATCATTGTGTTTCTTTCTATAAATATTAAAAAAAACTCTTTATAGTTAATTTTTCATTTTTCAAACTCATTAATATGAAATTCCCTATTTTGCAAGATTGCACACTTTAAAAAGTAATTACAATATTTAAAAAAATAAATCCTTAGACTATTACTGGACTTATCCTTGCTCTATAGATAATTTATGAATATTTTATAGTTACTTATCTATTGAGATCATTTCCTGAAGCCGAGTTTGACTTCACACATATGGGAACATGGGAAGGGCAGGAAGGAATAGGCCTAGAGATTGTTCTTTCACAAACACTCCTGTTTGTTAATATCATTATAAGAAACATTTTTCCTGTCCTGATGTACACTGATTATGCATGTTGGTTGGAAAGGAGGCCTCATCTACAATGTGAGAGTCTTAGAATTAAAGTACTTCAAAAGAAGCTTTAAAAAGACAGGTGAGACAAAAGAGCTTTTTGTTGCCTGCTGACATAGAACACCTCCAAAGCATGCCAGAAAAAGGATGCCCAGTCAGGTTGCCAGAGAAGTTAACTCTTTAAATAAAAATAACAGTCTCAGAAACTTTTATTCAGATGGCATCTTAAAATACTTTCAAGTTGGTTTTTCTTTTTGCTAGAATTAATAAACAAATAGATGTGGTTGGTCATAAAGAATCTGTCCAATTAAGAAAGCTCTGCTACCAAAACTCATTTGAATTTATGAAATAGGTTTGATACAAACAGTTTGGCAGCTCTGAGTCAACACTGGGGAGCAAACGTGGATGAATGGCTTCCTGCCTTGGCCCTAAATACCTGGTATAAGACAAGAAACAAAATCGGGAAAAACTACCACATCAAATATTAAACTCAAATAGTATTTTGCATAAAATTCATGGATTAAAAATTAACAGAAGCACAGCTGTCAGGTGGCAGAGTAGAAAAAAGTATTGTTATTTTCAAAAAACACTTTCAAAGCAGTTACTTCATCTCTATCTTTACTGAGTATTCCAAGGCAATAACGTATCTTAGAAAGCATGAAACACAATTCTCTAATTATTATTCTAATAGAGCATATATTCTCAAGGTTGAATAAAATTTTTCTAATTCAGAAATCATATAGTTTGTTTAGCACAAAGAATATGTGATAGCTCTCTAAAATTACAGTGTTTTCTTTCACAGTACAACTTCCCAGGGAATTTCACGTAAATCAATAAGCTAATTTATTCCTTAAAATTACATTAAAATGTCTGGAAAAGATAATTTACATCTTGTATTTATCATGTAACACCATGCAAATTCTTCAAGTATTTTGAAGTATTTATGAAAAGGTTGACCTTAAAGTTCCTTTATTTATACCTCCAATACACAAATTCAGCAGGGATACAAGGAGACAAAATGCAATGTACATAAGAAAAAATCAGTTTGATTCAAATTTAAACCTAACTGCAAAGCCAAGGGTTTTGGTCCTGCAACTGGACCCAATATACACTCCCAGCCTTCCCACAAATTTAACATGAGCCTTTCCTTAATATATACTGAAATCTTTCATTCCCCCAGGTTTATATCACAGATAAGCAGCTTCCACAATGAATAATGTAACTGCTGTTCAAAGCCATCATTCAAAGCACTGCAATAAAATTAAATCCTTCCTTTCTATATGGTCAGAGATGATGCAACAACAACACCCTGTAATTCCACAGCTGCAGATTTTCCACAGAATTCACTTCTCACACGACAAATCTGTTCTTTCACAAAAAAAAGGTCATTTAAAAGGAGAAAAAACCCCACCAAAACACCTGTCTCTTCCCTACAACAAGCTTAAGCAATAAGCTCTGACAGGTGTGACTTGTTCTATTTATCTCAATCAAAGGCACACGAAGGCTTCATTATTACACAGCTGTAATTTTGTCCTTTTTCCAAGATACTGGAATTTGTTATTTTCCAACAGGGTTAAAAAAAAAAAAAAAACAAAAAAAACCCCTAATTTTGAAGCATGCTTTCCCCAGCAGACCCTGCAGGACCTCTGTGAGCAGGGGATCATCCTGCCTGGAGACAGATAGATACTGATGATACAGATATAGATGATATCAATACTGCTTTCACTGACAGCTCTGACTTTCACAGCCACCAAACACTAAGGTTAAACCCTCTGCAGTGAGGTGCAGAGCCCTGTCACTCCTAACACCTTCAAAGACACTGGAATAACAGCAAGGCACAGTCACAGTGTGTCTGAGCAATATCCCAGCCTTATCTATAATGCATGCACTCCATTTTCTCACTCAGAATACTGAAGGAACTGGCTCAACATTTTTTAAGGTTTATTTTTTAAGCATGCCAAGATACTTCATCTCTATGAGCATCTCTTGATGTTCCATGTATTAATATTACTACATATTATATTTTAGTGAAAATTGTAGCAGCTCTTCAAAGTTCCTATATATGTACTACATTTGTTGATCTGAAGGAGTTTTTGGCAGAATTCAAGACTGCATTCAAGACTAAATTACTTGGAACCTTATATTAATAATTCAAGTCACTTTAATAAAATTTTTAAGTACATTAAAATAATTTCATGGGTTTTTTTATGGTTTTAGCAGCATTTAGCAGCAATTCAATAATCCTGGATTATTTTTACTTTTCTGTAGCCCTAGTATCCACTTTGTTAAAGAAAATACCAGTATCGTGGAGGTCTGTTGGTTTATAGGGTAGTGTTATCAGTAATGACTACAACAGGAGGAAGTTCTAGTAAAACCAGAAGGCAGAGAGAAAAGAATGAGACCTGATGGGATACAGAAGGTTTGTAGCAGCTGGGAGGTAAGCTGGGGAAGAAAAGTTGTCAAAGAAACAGAGATGAGATCAGAGAAACAGTTGTTCACATGCAGAGAGGCAGGAAATAGCACTTGCAACTGTGAAACCTGAATAGGGGAAGCTAAACACACAGAGATTAGAGGTTTGGGGTTTTTCTCAAAACTGGAAAATCAGGAAAGAAATCTGGTGAGAAAATGGGGACTGTAGAGGAGGTAGAATAACAAAGAGCTGAGATCCAAAGGAAAATGTTTTAAGAATCAGTAACTACTGAGAGTTTCTGATCCCTGTAAGAGATGCTAGTACCTCAAGCACTTTCTTAACAGAACTATGTTTTTAATTAGTATTCTACATTGCAGGAGTCAAAAATTACAGAAAAGGTACAGCATCCTGGGGGCTACAAATACTTCCAGATGCTGCCTGTAGTCATGCCATACTGGGTAACTTCATTTAACATTAGTCAGTGCTCTTGGGGCCAGCTGTGATAGTGCTGCACCAGCTCAGAGGTGCTCACCTGTGATTCCCAGTGGGCTGGAAGCTGTGAGGGTCCTTGGGTATGTCCTGCCCAGCCATGAGCTGCTCCTGACAGGCAGGAACACACTGGAAACAGAAAGGCACTGGCTACACCCAGCTTACCCAGCACCAAGGACAAAGGGAGATAAAAGGATTCTGAGCACAGAAGCGAAACTGAAGTAAAAATATTTAATTAAAGCAACACTTATTAGTTGGCTATAAGGGGACCCAAGAAAATTTCTTTTTTGAAGTTTTTATTCCCTTACTTCTGAAGGAAGTAATTTCTGTTTGCTAAAAATTATTCTTAAGACTTGAAAAACACTTAGACACAGAGTCTGAAAAATAAAAAATAAAATCTGTCATCAACAGGTGCAATATTCTACAGCCTTTTCTGCTCTGTATTTTAGGGGTTGTTTGGGGTTTTTTTCTTTGCAAGAACAGTCACAAAACTGATCCCGTCAAACGTAAAAATTGTTTTACCAAATTTATACCACAGTTAAAGCAGACTTCCAACTGGCATAACCTTATCTTCACTTAAGCCAATGTACATCAGTATAAAATGACAGTTGGAGAGGCTCATCAATAATGATCAGTGATCCTGAACATCATGTTCTGGTGACAAGCTAAATTAAACATAGAGAGCAAGCTAGTATTTCAGCATTCTTCAGAAATATTAATTTTGTTAGTCACTTCAATTTACAGCAGTGTCAATAGCAACATTTCTACTTTTATTCTATCCTGCAACTTGAAGAGGAAAGGAAATAGGAATAGAGCTCAAATGTCACAATAGGAAATAGAGTTCTTCTCTTTTTCATTGCTTTATTTTGGACTTTCTTTCCAAGTGGAATTGTTCCACTTCTTTCTTTAAACATAGCATCCCATATGGGAAAAGTGTGCAGCTGAAGTGTTATCAGCCCTGACCACAATAATTATTTTACTTGCTTTATTAATATTGCTCTTATTGGTATGGTAAGGCTCTGCTCTTAATTCTTGTTCAGCTTGTGGCCTGCAATGCCACACACACAGATTATTCCAAGAGCATTATCTACTCCTGTATTCCTATTACTGACTTTTCTACTTAAAGGAAAATGCCAGCATTTTCCTTTGCTGAGTTTCTCCACTTTGATTATAGGTCACTCAAGATATTCTGTATGTACTGTTTTGCAAACAATTACATACTTTCCTGACACTGTATCCAGTCTAATTCTGATTATTTGCTTATGAGTTTTGTATTAGAAGTGTTAAGATACTTAAAAACATATAACAACTATTCAAAAATAGTTCTATTCTAAAACTATTCCTTTTCCCTTAAGTCAAGGCCTGCCATACTGCAGAAGGAATTTCTTATAACTCTATTGACTCATATTCTGTCAGGAAAAATAATTCCAGAGTAGTGTATGTGCTATAAACTCCCTCCAATAGCTTCCATGTGTACACAGAAGGAAATCGCAACATTATCAGACAGCCTGTATTATACAAATACTATTTGAATGATGCTTTGAACAAAGGAATTCCATTTTATACTGCTGAGAAGGCAGGGGTGGGAGGTGGGTGGTGGTGGAAAAAGAATACTCCTGGCCCTATCAAGATGCATAATATCTGTTACTCATTTTTAAGGTAAAAGTGTGGATAATGCAATGGGTTTATATGCTGTAGAAGTGATCCCCAGCTGCTTGTTCTGAAGCTGGTTTATGATATCATACACTAAGTTTTCTTGCAGTTCATTGTTCTCCAAATATGTGTAAACCCCAAACCTTCAATTTCTAAAGCATTTTTCAATGGATCTGAATTTAAAATTCATTTGAGCACTCTCTATTGACAGTTACTGCCAATAAAATGCTAATTTTCGAATACAAAAGTAACTTAAGTCTTGTACCTTCAATTTTTTTCCACTCAAATAGCTCAACCAGAAAGCAAGTTTGCCAATCTTTATAAAGATTATAATCTTTATAAAGACACATAAAACTCATCTCCGTTTGCAGTTTCTTGGTCACCTGGGAATTCAGGCAAGAACAGCTGCAAAAAGAAGGTGGCTGCTGGTTTGTTGAATGATTCCATGAACATGTGGTATGACATTTCAGTATTAGTTTACACCATTTTTCATCCATTGAGAAAATGGATTTTCTTTGTGTATGCAAACACTTAAAGTTATAAAGAGGTTATTTCAGAACTTGTTTTGTTAAAAATTGCCTTACTAATTATAAAACCATTACACATACTAAAATGTTCATCTAAAGTCTCTATTTTCCCAGCACAGAAATATCACAGAACATGACTTTGATTAACTTAACTACTACTGTCCCATAAACCTACCTTTTTTGGCACCAAGATCAAGAAGCATTGCAAAGATGACCCTCCCTTTAAGGTAATTGAATACAAATTGGGGTTTGAACGAGAATGGTCAATCACTGCCAAACAAAATTCATAAACAGATGTTACTGCATGAAGTATCTATAATTGCTACACTATTTCAAAGTGATTTCCACTATCAAGTATCTACATATTTGCAAGGTAAGCATTTCTCACAAAGTTACAATGGAATATAGTATCTCCTAAGGATTCTGAAGGTAAATTTGAGCAGTATTAATCACCAGAAATTTTCATGGAAGTTATTCATTCGGGAGAATGCAATATTTCAGAGAAAATCAGAACAACATTGTCCTTTACCTTTGATTAACAGTGTTAGGCTAAAACAGTTAATTACATAATAAACTAATACCAAAGGGATAAAAATAGTTGGCTGAAACTGGCTTGTTCTTTTTTTTTTTTTTTTATTACTTTTAGGCATAATCTGCATTTCCAATAAGGCTTGCTTCATTTTTCAGGCTTCCATGTTCAATATTAAGCACAGGTTTCCAGCAAAGGCAATATTCCTCCAAGATCAGCATCCATCACGGAACACCAGGGGTATTCATCCAGTACTTACCATCTGAGTACTGAACCTGACTGGATATCACATGACTGGTTCCAAGCACAAACCCTGATCCAGAGATCATGTGCAATGAGTCTGCTCCCACACTGGCTGCTTGACTGTTGTAAAGAGCCTTATAGCTCTTTTCCAAGTTAAGGTGACTGACTAGGAGCCCCCAGCTTCCCTTCCCTCTTAAGTGCACCCCATGGTAAAAAAATCCCTCTAATTTTGGGAGATCATTTTTTGCATCATCTACATATAGTTCAACATAAAGATACAACTAAATTTTATAATATTATCTTGCAGAAGAAAGAGTCTTGAATTCCCAAGTTTGTAGCTGTGCTTATTAGGCCTCTTGTCCCTGCAAAATTCTTCTGTGAATAATGATGGTGGAACATCCAAGGAGATGCCATGACTGAAGTAGGAAAGCCATGAGCAACCATGTGCAGGATAAGAATCTGCATTAGTTCTACCAAGCAAAAAAGAATTCAATTCCACTACTGCCCCAGTAACTTCCTGAGCTAGGTATTCATGCAGAACACAGAGGGCCTGTCTTTAACCTGCAGACACCACGTCCCTTTGGGAAAAAAGTCTGAACCCTTATACTGGTGATGAAACAATCAAAGGGTAAACATTGTCAAAAAGTGGGTATGAGTCCATGAATAAGAAATTAATACAATTGTTTGGCTTTGTTTGTTAGGGTTTTTTAAGATTTTATTTTAACTGGTTAGAGGTTATTCAAATTTTTTATTCTACCTTAGCAACTATAGGGGGGAAAAATTGGGGGAAAAAAATCTATAGGCAACCTTACACTTTGCATATATTTTTGTCAAATGTCGTCTTCTAGGCAAATCAAAATGTCTCCTCTTAATTTATATTAAGCAACACTTTTAAAATACTTGCTTTAGGTTTTCTTATATCAGAAAATTTGGCTACCTTTGGCTAACTTTGTCAGAAGTGGTCTGACATATTTTCTCTCAGCATTTTTTTATTCTTTATTTAATGAAAATTCTGATATAGCAAAAGCGAATACCTGAATTGTCTTCAGCATTCAATTTAAAATCCCTATACGTAGAAAAATCAAACTCCACTCTGGTACAAGATTGTCCCTTGTTCTGCAGTAAAAATGGAATTGATTTTGTAGCACCAACAGCAAGACCACCAAATTCAAATACTTCCTGTAAGTTAAAAGAAAAAAAATGGTTCAAAGCACTGTGAAGTCAAGTTTATAGTTGAACATAATGTGAAAAAATGTAATTGTGCAAGATTCACAATTTATAACGCAATAACAGTATTGGTTAATCAATAGTCTCACATAACCCTTACCTTTAAAATCTTTCAAGGACACAAAATAGAAGAGTTTAGAATTTAATATCAAGTCCAGTTACACCATCAGAAAAGTTTTCATCATTCAGTAAACAGATTGGTAGCTTGCTTTTCCCTTTATTGCATTTTTTGCTATAACTACCTTAAGAAATCGTATCCCTTCCAACAGACTTATTCCAGATTGTCCAGTTCAAAAACTAAAGCTGGCAGCTATCATTTAGTGCAACTGGTATATGCACATTTGGGTTTTAATCCCTCTTCCTAGGTTCATCTCTTTGATAATCTTCTTGGGAAATTAGTTTAGGAAGAAATGAAAAATATGAAGCAGAGAGGAGCCACTTTAACATCAAGATAAAGCAAAATACTTAACCAATCTTACCAATAACTAGAATTTCTTCACACTTACCACATCAATGCCTATTTCAGTGATCTCTGAAAATCCACCAATCCGAAGTGTGAGTTCTGCTGCATTCCTCACTGCCACCTAAGTGAATGGACAACACTGGCACTGTGGACAAGGTCACTTTAACATAACTAACTCACTAAATCTGTCATAATTACATGAAAAAAACACAAAAAAAACCAACCCAACCCTATCCCACAGATACAAAGCAGAGAATCAGTATAAATTGCACTGAAAATATGAAAATAACTCTGTCCTTAAAATATAATGCATTTTTTCTGCAGAAATACAAAGAGATGAAGTAAATGCCTTTGTTTTCCAGAACATATATACACAGATTCCAGTGATGTGTGGCTTCAAATCATGCCTTTGTGGCATACCACATCTGGGACAGATACAGCTGAACAGATATAGCTGTTTATTAAAAATACAGAAAAAAAAAATAAAAACCAACAAACATAAAAATAACAACCCAGAGTTGGAAGAAAGACCAGTGACCAGTCTCCCCCAATTCTGCAGTCAAAAATAATATTGCAGGAGGCTGTGTTAATAGAATGAGCAGTTTTTTCCACCAGGAGGAATCTGTGTTCAGCAGCTGTGAGGATTGGAATGTGTATCGCAACACACATTGCTTGACAGAGGTGCTGGTACAAGGTAGACACTACTATTCTGGGGAATATTAAATCTATTGTAAAAATGGAAAAAAATAAATGAATACTAGGTTTAACAAGCATAATATATGCAGCCCCAGAAGATGGTGAATCCAAGATCAGTCAGAAATGGTAGCAAAGTTCAGGCTCTTGATGGCATCTTTTTTCCCAATCTCACTTATTTCAGGAAACAGGCATGCAAAAAACAAAATTTTACATGTTTATTGCACGCCTATTATCAAAGCAAATCGACTAGGAGAGCCATGTCTGAGAAAACCAGGAAAAAAAGCCAAGAAATTAAAAATGTAAGAGTATTCCAATCCTGCCTCTCTATAGATTACAAAAACTGCAGGTATGTCTACATTATCTTGTAAAGAGCAATCACACATTACTTCCAACAGCTTGGCAGTGGTATAATATGCATCAGCTCAAACTGAGAGGCTGCTTTGATACTTCTGAGCATGACTGAGACAAAAAAAAAACAGAATAGGTTACAGCAGTAATGATCTGCTGCAAGAAAACCTTGTTCTTAAAAAGAATTAGAACACTGGAAATAAAATCCAAAAGAGGCATGAACATACGCACACAAACACACAGGATAACACTCAAAAGACAAAGTTCTTCCAGTTTTGAAATACCTCCACTTTTTTATCAAAATTCATGTGTGACTTTGGAGAGAAAGAGATTTTGAGATCAGCAACGCCTCCCACAGGTATCACTCCTACAGAGGGGGTGATTTTCATTCCAGGCAGTGGGTTTGTGTCAAGAACCTTCACAAACACAAACAAGAAACATACTGAAAAAAGGTGTTTGCATTAATTTGTTTTAGTTCTTGTTGTTGTTTTATTTATACCAATATATCTAAAATAAAGACTTTATAGTCTTACAAGGAGAACCTTCATAGCATATAATGCTAACTTGGACTTAATTTGGGGAAAAATGCAAGTAAACAAAAGAAAGTAACAGATTTCTAAACATAACTGTCAGTTTCTACTGTGAAATAATTTTTTTCACCAATTGGAAACTTGGAGTTCTGAGTTTTGGGTTGTTTACATTAAGTTACCAAAATTAAGACTTGCTATCTAGCAAGTCTTTAAAATATTCTACAAAACATTCTTTTTCTGTGACAAATAAATTCCTCACTTCTTTTTTGACATTCACAGTAAGATGGGACACAGAACCCCAATCCTGTATAGCTCAGTAATAATATTAGAATTAAATTTTCAGTTTACCCACAGTTAGCTAAGACCAAAAGGTATTTTTTCTCTTCTAATGCACTCCTAACAGATAGCTTTTTAAAGTATAGATACACAAGTGATAATGACCAAGACCAACCAGCTATGTCTTGGTTTAAGAGTAATTCTGGAGGCTAAAAAGGCTGGGTACGTTTGTTTGTTACTGGCTATGCTGATTTTACTCTTTCAGGCCCAGCCTCTAACACTATGTTACTACTTGTTATTCAATGCTCAGTTGATAAAAGAGAAATCTGGTACAAATCAAAATAAACTTAACATGTTTCTCAGCACTGTAATAATTCAGTAACAAAAACTCTGAAGGTTTTAATGAAAATTATTTTCCTCCACTAAATACAGCAATTATCCTGTGATCAGCCAAACTAATGAGGTTAGGTTTCCTACTAATTTGTGTATTATGTTTTTACCCACTCTGGCATCTATCTCATCCCTTCCTCAATTCATTGCACAGCCCCTCTTTCCCCTGGATGTTGCTTTAGCAAAGTCATCCCAAAGTGCTGTGACAGCTCTGGGTGCCTGCATGCACTGACTGGACAGCATGGGTAGGATAACCAGCCAGTTTGCTCTGTCTCTCAAAGCAGGAAAACATCCAATAAATGCTTTTCCATAGGGTACCCCAGTATAGGATTCCACCCTCACCCCTGGCTCTCAGAAAACTGCCAGAATCATTTAGGCCATCACCACTTTGTCTTTTGTCCCATCTACCCTTCAGTGCAAATTTGACAGAGGGACAGAATTCCTATTTACATCAATCTTGTTTCTCCATAAAACATCACAAAAACCTAAACAGGTACATATTTGACAACTGAAAATACAAAACCATAACACAATCTGGTAAAATTAACTCCCTTCTGCTCCCCAACCCAAGGAATTAAGTGTGCTAGAAATAATTGTCTCTTACTTGGAAGTATGCATGGTTGTGTCCTGTGTTTAGGATAGTGGCTGTCTTACAAGTAGTAAAATCAATTGGACTATGAAAGAAGGATATATTTTGGGCCATAAACTGAACTCTAGTAGTACCAAACTATTAAAAAAGAAAGAGAGAGATAAAACAAGCAAACTATATAACATATACCTACACACAAATAAATAATTTTGCCTAATTTTTTATTACATAATGAGCTAATATATTTGAGCAAATACATAATTTGGAAGTATTAAAATAGGAAAACACAGCTTAAGTGAGAGACAAGATTTACTTAATCTACTGAATTTATCTAGATTCAGACTAAACAGACTCAACCCTACTGATATTTCTGGACTTATTTCAAGACCAATAAAAATATTTTAATTAAATTTAACAGCACAAACTTTATTAACTCCAAATGTGTGATCAGGACAAGATATTTCTGATATTAATAGCAGTAGAAACGCAAATATTGTAATTTGCACGCATCTTGATTTACATATGGCAAACTTACAAGACTTCAAAAGAAGAGGAAGAAAAGAAAAATATCTACTAGGGAAAAAAAAAACCCAAAAACAAAAACAGGCTCATCAAAAGAAAGGGAAAAGTTTCCTTGGCTCCCAATAACAATTCTAAAACATGCAGCCATTAGAATAGAGAGGAAAAAAAGTCTTTCTTCTTCATATTCCCCAGTATGCAACGTAAGACAACAAATAACTAACCAAATCTGAATGTCACTGTTTAGAAGACTACCCAGAACATTGCTTCTCAAACACCACGTTCAAATAACAACACAAAATTCAATTAAGAGTCTGTTGTTAACTTGAAACTCTGAAACATACCTTCCCACACACACCTAGATTTTTATTCCTTTAATAAATAATATCTATATAAAAAACTGTTGTATAACCTCTCAACATATGTTTAGTCAAACTAGGCAAAGCAAGCACAATATTAGCCCATAATATATACGGACCATTAAGCTGTGATGCCAAAGGAAGAATATCATCAAAAGCAAGAAAAAGGTAAATTGTCTTTGCTTTGCCTTCTCCATCATGTCTTTGGAGCGTATTCTTTAGCTAAACATGTTAAGTAAAAGCCATATAAAATTAAAATATTTTCATTTAAAAATAGATGATAATAGAAATATATTTAAGGTATTACTTGTTTAAAGAAATCCCCACATTTTTCTTCTCTAAAGCAGCCACATGAATTGTTACCTTTGCAAAACATTTCAAGTGAATTGAATTTCCTTTGCGCACAGACAAGATGAACTGTCCTGTTTCTAGAGTGTTGAACCCTGGATGCCAAACAACTTCACACTCCACATCACTATAGGCCTCCACAAACCCTAAATATATGTACATAATTTAGATGTTATAGCATACACATGTACAACTGTCAAATTACACTGTATAATTAGAAATTGCAGATACATAAATGTGAAATGACCTTCTATTACTGCATGTAAGACTACATTTCTTAGGTGCTGAACAGTCTGATGAATTAAGCAAAATTAGGTCTTGGATTCTCATGACCATTGCATAATCTATTTACTAGTATCCTGCAGTAAAACATACTCAAAGTTTACTGGTATTTTTAGCCATTAATTACTCTAATGAAAACAAAAATAAAAGAACAGACTTTCTTGCAGAATAGTAACTTGGGGAAAGATCATACACACTTTTTTGCTTGCAATTGAGTCTGAATTTGTTAGCAGAAATATCTTTTCTCAAGAATCAAAGCACACCAAATCCAATATAGTTAGAAGTTTGTTTTTTAATAATGGAGATCCAACATACCTCTGCAGAATATTATTTTTCAGTGAGAAGGTAAAAGCTAAACACACATGCAACAAACACTGATCCACGATGCAAATGCACACCAATCCCAGACTGAACTCCATTTATGTTACTCAATCTTCATCAACTTTTTAGCAGCTTCATTCAGTGCTTCTGGAAAATTTCCTATCCTGATGAGCTGTAAGATGTTGCTACCCCATTCTTGAAATGTCAGCAATCTGTGCTGAGAAAAATGTTTGCACAAGCACTGCTGGCTGGTCACGGAAGCAGGGAGCATAGATTCAGGGCAGGGCTTACACAGAGAATGCTGCTGTGGTGCTCACTGTGACCTGATACTGTTTTTGGGACACACTGATATTGACAGAAATCTAAAAATATAGTTTATAGCATCAGCTAAGTGTTTGCCTTATTTAAAACTGTTGACATACAAGATGCATACACACACTGTATTTGCATAGCATACCTCTGATTGGCTTTATAGTAAATGCAGATTTTCTATCTCCAGTTACAGATTTCCAACTAAAGCTAGCAGGATAGTTTCTGGGATTGCATACCCTGACAGTTCTTCTAAACTCTGTCCCTGCTAGGCAGCCAGGAACAGGAGTCAGAATCAGTTCCCTTGTAGACAGCTGAAGTTCAATAGGCATTGCACGTGCAACTACCAGCACATGTCCAATGTGTCGGTTGTTTATTTTGTAACTCAAAGATCTGTAACATGAAAATATATATCTCACAATATTTTTATGCATTTATTATGTTACAGTCAGAGTTAAATTTACATGAAATATAACCACTAGCAAAAAAACACTTAACAACTGAGTGCGAACACATAGTTAAGACTTAAAGGATGATCAGCCTCACACAGTCATTTCAACATTAGAAAACAGAGAGATAATACCAGCAGGCTAGAGAACAGGTTTTTTATACATTTTCTCATGAGCTGCATGAAAAGACCTGAGCACAGATGCGAGTGATGCAATGCTAGTCTAGAAAGAGAACAGTATTTTCCATAGAAATTTCCCTAGTAAACACACCATAATAGAAAACTTTTTTCCCTGATACACCTCTATCTAGATAAGGCTTTTCACAGGACAGATTTTTGTTTGTGGTTTAAAAAAAAACAAGAAAAAGTACTGCATTAGGAAAACTTTGCAACATAAAACTGCACTGATCATTGCAATGTCACCATAGATGAGTGTACACCATTAACAATTACCCTGACTACTTTAAAATCAGCCAGGTGATTTCTTAAAAAAATATTTTACTATTGCCAAGAAATGTGTAAATCAAGACAAATATAAAAAACCTTACCTTTTAAACATTCCAACAGTGGTCGTCTCAAACACAACTGGAATATGAGTTTTTGTAAGAGGAGGCACCACCTGAGACAATGGAGATGTCTCCCTCAATTCCTCAACTTCAATCTCAATTTGTATCCAAATATGAACTGACAAGTTATTGATGATGTGCAGTTCTTTGGTTGTTGTAGAATACACACAAACCTCACCAAAATCTATAGTAGAAGGACCTGAATTATGTAAGAAAAAAAGATCCTCAACATTAAAAGGTAAAAGATAATGTAAGGAAACATAACTACTAAAATACTTTGATCAAATGCTTTAGTTCTTCAATTACAAACTTAGGCAGCTACAAAAATCCTGTAGTGGAACAAATTATCACTAAAATGTGGACGTAAGCATCACCCATGTTCTGTGAGTGTTTTCAGCAGTACAAGTCAAAAGCCAGCAACATTTATTTTTAAATTGTGCTTGTTTTAGTCAGCTGATAAAACAGGAAATCAATGTGCTCACTAACAAGACTATTAATAACCATAAGTACTTCTTTTTGTTAAGCAGATATTTAAAAGGACAAATTAACACCAATTCACTGGAAGTTTATGTATGCAACCTGTTGGTTTGCTCCCTCATGTGTGACCATTTGGTTTAATAATTTATGTCATGAGATGGTCCACAGATTTACTCCCCTACCTAGTTTACTGCTTTTAGGCTGGTCCGTAAACTTGAGTGCTCATGGCACTAATCAAACATCTTAAGAAACTCTCAGTACTTTTTGTATTATTATGTTTATCTTGTTCTACCTTTCCCCAACTATATCAGTTTACACAGCTACGCCATTCAAGTTCTGGCTTGCTGAAAACTTAAAAAAGCCCAGGAAGCACTAAAATTCTTTTTGCTGCTAAAAAATCTTACTGAAAAAAAGCTGAACTTATAATACACCTGTTGCAGCAACAAATGTTGTTAAGAAGTCACTAAGAAGTTCTATAAGGTGTTGCTCCCCATTACAGAACATTACCCTAAAATTATTTTGATGAAGGATCCTGAAGTTTTACATTTTGGGGTATCGAGCTTCACTGTGAATTCCCAGAAATATTCTGAGCACTTCCATGAATCTTGCTGATATTAATGCTGGTCCAGGTACTATCCACTAACAAGGCCTAAAGGTATGAGCAACTGTCATACTATGCTGTGGTCATTTCTCTGTAAGAGGTTGTGGTATGAGCAGTCTTTAAAGAAAACTCTTCTTTTACATGTTCATACCTAATCATATCTCAGTATTTGCTGAGAATTACAAAGCTTTAGTGAAACACTACTGCAGGTCTCAAGCTGCCTACCAAATTAAACTGTTCTCTATTTAGGGTGAACAACTATAATCATAAATTGTGTTACTATACTTAAGTGTTTTTATAACAACTATATGTATTTAACAACTATATGTATTTAACAACCAAATTAAAAACCTTACCAATGAATATTTGATGAAGCTGTTTGAGTGTCAAAATTAGATGACAATCTTCCTTTTCCTTGGTAGAATATGGCATGGGACTAAGCCAGCTCCAAACCTGTGATAAGCACAAGTCACTTCCTCAGAGCAGGATCAAAATTCTTGTGATTTTTTTATATGATAAACACATTATGCTAGCATACTACTCAAGTGTTTAACTTACTCCTTTGTTTGTAGATTTAGAAATAATTGCTGCCAATTCTCGACTAGTTAACAAACAGTTGTCATCTAAAGGAAGCATTCTGGACTGTGGCTTCTCCTTGGGAAAATCTGCGATTGAGATTTTTGGTGACTTAAGACCTTCAGCTGGTTTAATGCCTATGCTCACAGGAGTGTTATAAATAAAAAGCTGCCTACAGGGAAGGGAAAAAAAAAAAAGCATGTGGAAATCTAAAAGTTTGAGCATTCCATGAGCTACACATTAAATTATTTAATATTTTTAAACAAAACAATTAATATTTTAAGCAGGAATATTTCATTATTTAAAAAACCCTGAGGCACAAAAAATACCTCAAAAATACTTATATTGTTTTGCTTTTTACTATAAATCTAGAGGAGCAGTCAGATTAAAGGATTGTATCTGCTTCAGTCCACAGAATATATAATAATTTACATACTGAATCCATCACTTGGGGTGAGCTAAACATCCTAGTTGGAAATACATATTTATTTTATAAAGAGAATCCAAAACAATCAATGTTATGTTTTCTCCTGTTAACCATAATCAAGTATTCTTAAAACTTGACACCTTAATTTATGTTTACTTTAAGCTTTATTTCAAGTGCCCTGCCTCTATCCCTACATTTCACGCAGGAAGTGATTTCCATGTGTCTAAATACTTGAAACAAACAGGCTTTGAATGCATTATAAATTAAAGTCCCAATATCATAAGCATACTGGCACAGGACAAATTTATGTATATGATTGGTGCCATTTAGTTAATTCTGCTTGTATATTCACATATTTTGTGTATGAGCCTAAAGTATTTATTTACCCTTTAAACCAAGTCTTACCTAGCAGCCTCTCTCTCTAAGCGACGCTGTCTCAAACAGGAAATGAAGTTTATATAGTGTTTCCTATTTTCTTCTCTTAACAGTCTTTCAGAGCCAGTATAAGCAAATTCTGGGTCTATGTAATTATACCTCTCAGTCTTTGTGAAAATAGTCCTAAATATTTAAAGATAATTGTAGTTTTATTACACATGTAAAATGATACTGGGTCTTGTTAGAATGAAAACATAATTGATTTTGATACATACATATTTTATTCCAAACATTCTTTTTATCACACCTGATTATTAATATTTGACCTTGTAAAGGCAACCATAAAAATGAAATATTACAAGTCTAACAGCTACATTTGTAGTTTCACATAAGAAAACTCAATAAATTTATGTGCAAGAGACTTAAGAATGCAATGAATTTTAAAGTACTTTCAGCCTGAAAAAAAAACTAGGGAACTGTCATATGAGTAACCAATCTTGATCTACTATATGATACATATAAATGTGTGGGCTTAAATATTAGATTCACATAATTTTTACCTGTATGTTTTATTCCATTCACTAGGCCTAAGGCTGGCTGCACGATCATTAGGAAAAGCTATAAGTGCATCATCCTTACAATTCTTGTTTTTCCGGTGAGTATGAATTTGTGTTTGGGTTGATTTAAGGATTGCCACAGGTGCTGTAACACTGAGCTGTCCCGTGCCACGAACTGCAAATTGTCCAGTTGCATTGGAAATCAAGGGTGTTAGACCTTAAAATTCAAATAAAACATAAACTAATATTTTTCTACACAAAATTCAAATTCTTAAAAAAATATATCTAATTTACAACAGTCTGCCCAGCAGCACAACAGTCAGTCACCCATCCCTTAATGTTTTCTTCAGACAAGAGAAAAAAAGCCACTCACATCATGCCAAGAGCCAACTGCTTCCCTTGGCCTGGATCACACAAACAAACACCAGAGCTAAAACCAGCTGTGTCCAGCTGTGATACTTGAACAGACACATCATCAGACACTCAAGAGCTGCCTGTCACCAGTGTCCTAAAGCTTGTCTTAAGGGCTGCAAACAGAGGCATGAATTTGGACAAAACCTCCCAAGGTAGAACAACCAAAAAGATAGCTCAGATCTTTTTCACTCTAGTTGTAGAAAAACACATATATATGAACATTAAAGAGAAAATTATGGCAGAAATAAAGTTAAACTTCAACCGCTCTTTACTCCCTCACCTGCAAAAAAAAATAAAAAAAATAAAAATTGTTCATTAAAAATTTTTGTTTTACCCACTTTAGCCTTACTTTAATCAATCAACAAAAAAATCAAAAACTGTATTCCATCTTCTAAGTCATAGATGTGATTACAGCTTTCACTGGCCAGAAAGGCACAGTTTGCAAGAAGCTTCATTCCTGTCTCTCCCCTGCCACCACCTGAACACAGAGACACAAGTACACCTACTCATCCACAGGCACTGAGTGAAGATAAGAGGACAATAGAGAACTATCTAGAAAAGGATCTGAAAAAAACTAAATAATTTCTCCTCCATTCTTCAATGAAGCTTAAAAGCAAAACACAGATATCCCTCATAACATTTTTATAAACCTACAAATGGGACCAGAATGGGGACATTAATAGAGGAAATGGTAGACAAGAGTATGTAGAAAGCCTGAAAAACTCAAGCACTACATCAAATTTTTGATCCAGAAAAAAAACAAAACCCTGCTTCTAATTGTTTCCTGAAGCAGGAAAACTGAAGCAGCTCTGGATTTCAAAAATAAAACAAAGAAATTGCCAAAGTTCAGTTTCTCATCAACTGTTGACAGCCATGGATTGGAAATACCTTCCTGAAAGTAGGAATGCCCAGTGGCTTATCAACCATTCTGGTACTTGTAGGAAGAACAGCACTTTATCATGACTTTCCAGTAACTTCCACTTTTTACTCTCCCACAATGGAAAAAAAAATGGGTATTGGCTTCCTGTTTCTCATTAGGGAGTACATCCCCAAGTTGACAGCAGCTAAAGAGAACTCATGTTCCCCTCCTGATCTACACACAGCCACCTACATGCACCAGTGCACAGGTCAGGCGACTGCACTGGTGCTGCAGCAGCTGCAGCACATCTGATGTAAGAAAAAAATCATGTTTGCCATGACAGGGTTATAATCCAGCTTAGTCAAATCTACTGCAAAGTGATTGTTTGTGAAAAACATTTGGAACACAAAGAACAAATTACAGGCTAATTATTGCATATCCTGAAAGACTCTTTATGCTGGCACAGGCTTCACAGGATGGAAAGAGTCAGTGGACACAGGACCGGTAGCAGCCTGTATGAACTGGCAAATTCATCTGGCAGTAGTAACTTTGAAGCAATGAAGAACATCCTGTTATCATCCTAGCTCTTCCTGTGCTTTACAGATCTCTCAGTTTACTCCTGAAACATCTTGGCACTGTACAGTGGCATTGCTTGCAAAAAGTGAACCTTATCAAAGTCAGGTAATCATATTATGTAAATTTGTGCTTTAGTTGTTCAATTTTTTATACAATTATGGGAGGGTGTACCATTATTTCAGCAGTCTTATGGGACATATGTCATACAACTGAGCATTCCCTCCAGTCCCAAAGAGATACTACTTTTTACAAGCAAACTATTAGCAAAAAAATCTCTTTTAAAATGTTATAAATGTACTTTTAAAATATTTTATCACTTGTGACTTAAGTTTTTAGCATCTTACCAGGATTAATTGTGAATACAATGCTTGTTTGTTTAGATTTGCACACACCGAGTAAGGTCAAATATATTTGATGAAAGGATTTTGTCTTCAAAACCTGTACATTATTTTTATCTACTCTTGTACCGATGATATCAATAATTTGCTTCATCTCAAATGCTCCTATTTGATGTGGAGAAAACGAAATCATCACTTCCTAGAAAAGAAAACTCATTATGAGACATATGAGACAATATAGAGTCAAGTTTTGTGTAATTCTGTATATGATTGAGTCCCTGAGACACTTTTCTCCACACTTACCTTTAAGACAGGTATTCAAAATTTGGCTTGCAGAATAGGCCAAGAGGCACATAAAAATTAGCAATATGAGGTAACATAAAAATGTGACACATAAGAACACAAAGTCTCAGTTGTTCTGTCCAGTTCTGAGAGAAACCTTGTTCCCTGACTTACTGGTTTGGGAAAATGTAAATCTTTTTATATTTGACTTACTATTTGGCAAAGTTTCTTCCATTGAAAGAAATTTTACCTTACTTGAATAGTTGTGATTTACTGAAACAAACTAAAAATAAAAACAAATTAAAAGTATCCTTCCAAAATATTTGAGTATAAATCAATCTTTTCAAATCAGTAAAATAAAATCCAAAATTACAGATATTAAAAACCCTTGCAAAGTTGCCTTAATACTCCAATCTTTTTTCCTAATTTAAAATAATATTTGTTGCTTCCTGGAGTAGGAAAAGAACATTAAGAGACTGTACAAAATAAAAAATACATATATTTGGCTGGTATTAAATGCCATTGCTACTGAAATGAAATTCCTCTGGTTTAGTTTCAAGAAATTCCACTGCTACCCACTGTACAATAAACTGCACAGTTACATAACCTAAGAGAAAAAGGGAGTTACCTTTTCAGATTTTCTTTTAAGTTTTCCTCTTTCAGGAGAAATATTGAAGTGAGCAGTCTTGCGGAAGCTGAACGTTACTGGTAGGAACTCAGATTCATTCTTCATTGTGCACACAACTTGTGCTTGCTCACCCAAATAACAGTCCTTAAAATGAATTACTCTTCCTGGCTTAAAAGTTAATATCACAGGAAACCCAGAACCCATCAAAGCTAAGTCCACATGACGAGAAAAACTCCCTGCATTAGACAAACACAAAAACAAGCAAACAAACAAAACCCCTCTCACACCCATTATCTCACTAACAGGAAAGTCATGCTGTATTTGTACAGTCACAAAAACAAAATAATACTATAAGCCAGTATGTTTTATAATGCAGTTTTTATAAACCTAACACAGATATCTTTACTTCTAACAGCTGTTAGATAATGCATTTCCTCAGTGAGAAAGTTAAGGATGATCAAATGTGCACTTGAAAATGCACAAAACTGGTATTACCAAAGTGTTAGTGACTTGCAAAGGGCTGAGGGTGTTTCATTTCCTTCAGATATTTGCATTTATAATTATTATAATTTATAATTAAGTGATAGGTGTGTCATGACACATAAATCACTCCTCTCTACTCACTGTTCAAAGACGTTTTAATGCTGAAGCATTCAAGATGCAAGTTAATTTATTTGTGTTGATATAAATAAACAAAAAATGCAGATTTACCATAAAACTATTAAGACAACCAAGAAATTTTTTAAGTTTTTTTTTTAAAAATAAAGATATACAATTTTGTCATCCATAGATGCATTTCTGACAGTGACTGTACATTTCTAACATACTTGTGGTTGCTGTGGCACCACCACTGAGGTTCTGCAGACAGTCACCTCTCTCCCCAACAGCTTCAAATCTCAGAAACAGGACATAATCTTGAATCAGTGATGCATCATTCACTTCAAACTCTCTTTCAAATTTTCTGCAAGAGTCACAAACTTGAATTAAAAGATGGGAAAGAACAATAAACCTCCAAATTCAACCCACAAAAAATCAAGACATATTTTTGAACATCCAGTCTAGCTTCTTTGCTGTAACAGCTTGAACAAATGATCTTTATATTTCCTACCAGAAAATGCAAATAGTAACAAATTTCAGCTCATCAATATCTATGTGTTTACTATACTAGTAATTTGATATCTTTTCCAGCCTACAACAGTTTTCTGAACTAGTACCACATGCATACTGTATCAAGTTTAAGGAAGGGAAAATGACAAGGGCATATTTGCTTTTTCTTTTCCTTATTCAAGAAGAAATGTTTCTTTGTTTAGTTTTTGCTTTTGTTTTGGGTTGTTTGTTTTGGTTTTTTTTAGTGATATGATAGCTCTCCAAAATATTTCACTTTCTTGACAGTTAATATATGGCAAAATCTAATAAAATTCTTATTCTCACAAAACCATCTTATCCAATTCTTGGTTCAAATACACCCCTAGGGTATTATAAAACATAAAATCACAGAAACACTTTAGGCTTTGCTTTCTTATTTGCAGAATCACACAAAGAAATTTTGTCTAACACACATAAATACTTAAGAAGTTACTCAGAAATAATTTTCAGACATATTAACTCAAAATTATTTTCTCTAACATAGCTCTTGCAGAATAGCATAGACCAACCAACTTGTGTGCATGTGTGTGATACCATTTAATTGGTATCACTCACTCACTCTGGACTAAAGCAGATTGTAATCAAAGATTTCTCATGAGGTGGCAAAGTTCCTTGATTGGGAAAGCACAAGATCAAGGTGGAAACATCTACATCTTTATTTTTCAGGCTTAAGTCATGCAGAACAGCATCTGTATTCCCCTGAAGATCTGTCCCCTAAAAACAAAAAACAAAATATGGAATATTTCAGCCTGTTTTGCTTTCCCTTTTGTGTTTTTTTTTTCCTTCTGTACATTTTCATGCACAACAAACAGAAAGACATAACACAGGAAATAGCAGGCACACAGTTACACAGCACATGGGTATTTAAGCAATTTTTAAATCCATTTCATGTCAATGTCTTGAATTCTCTTTTTTAAACATGATTTTCAGATTATTTCACTATCTGAGAAAAACAAGTGAAATCACAGATTATTAATATCTTAGAACCAAAACTGTAATTTGATAACTCCTAGTAAATAATAATTGAAAAACTCAATTCTAGGGTTAAATTGAAATAAAAAACATGTTGGTTGGACAGACATTTCAGAAAGCCCATTGATCAGCATGACATAGTAAACAAGACTAGAAGATGAATGTTGAGAAATAAAAAATGCAAAAGAAGAAATGAAAACAAGTTTTCAACTAAAATAAAAACCAGAGCAGTTTCTTACCATCTCTTCTCCAATGGCATTGTCTTCCAGTACTGCTACCCAATCCACACACTCAGAGCTTTCATTGTATAAATATATTTTTTCAGTCTTTGAAGTTCCAAAGTAAAGAGGTCCAAAGTTAATGCATTTCAGTGCTTTTCCACAAGACACTCCAAGAACTTTAAGAACTTGTTCAACCACAACACCTTTGATCCATACTTCGGTAAAGCCACGACTTTCCAACTCCACTCTTCCAGAAAGAGCAGCAAGCAGCAACAGGTAACATAGGGAAGCATTAGAAATAATCAGATTGGTTAGTTTGCTTTGTATTAGAATCTGTGCCAAAAAAGACACCGAATCCAAGCACTCAAATTACTGGCTTTCCATAGATAAACTAAGGGGGAGAGCAGGCTAAGTGAGATGTCCTTGACAATGTTTTAATAGGAATATCACCAATCAGGAAAAATCACACATTTCATGGTGTTCTGGGTTTGCTTTGGTTTGGTTTCTGACTTTCTTAAAATGTTTGAAACTGTAAGAATGGCATCTGCAAAGAATCAGGAGGTGTCCACAGATAATATACACTGCTCTTATCCCTCGGAGTCTTTGTATCTAAATACCAATTTTAGCATATTCTCTTGTGTGGAAATTTAAATTTAAGCTAATTTTCTTGTAGGGAACTGGAGCTAGAAGTTCATCTGAATAAGGATGAAAAAGCTGCAGCTGTTCCTGCCTGGAAGCTTGATCTTGATGATTCCACAAATCACCAAAACCAAACAACCAACAAATCAACCACACCCTATTCCCACATTGCCCAGAGAAGTTGTGGGCTCCCCACCACTGGAAGTGTTCAGGGACAGACTGGATGGGGCTCTGAGCAACCTGGTCTGGTGGAAAGTCCCTGCTCATGGCAGAGGGGTTGGAAATACAGGATTTTAAAGTCCCTTCCAAGCCAAACCATGCTGGGATAATAGGATTCCATAACGTATGCATTTAAAAGCAATCTACTCCAGTGTTACAAATACATTCCACCCAGTGAAAATAAGATACACTAAAGAACACCACAATGTTTCTGAGACTCCTGAAACACAAAGTTAAAAGAAAACATGCAGTTAAAGAAGCTAAGAAAATTAAGGAACACAGTATGTGCAGAAAGGTAAAAGATAAAAAAGCTCCTGGTTATTATTATTCTGAGAAATGCGCAAACATCCCAAATCATTACAAATTATGAAAGATTTTTATTAACATGGCCAGGTATACAATTTATGAATCACTTTTCTGTAGTGGAGATAATATAATAATCAATTTAATTAAATAAAACTAAATATTAAAGACAGCAACTGACTCTTAGGAACCTAGGTTTTTTAGATAAACATTCATAGTAAAGACTAGAATTAATAACCAACAAAAATGAGATTTATAGATAGAGCCATATTTCTTCAGTCATACACTCACTTCATCATTTCTTTGATGACTCCAGGTACATCTGTGCAGATATCCACTTTAATCTTCCTTACAGATTTTGGCTTTACCACTCCTCTGGTAGGTTTTATATTAAGCAGGACAACCCCATCATATGTTACTCTAAATACACCTAAAGAAAATCAGAGCAATCAACAGAATACTATACAATATAAAGCTATAGATTTATATGCCTCTATTACCCACTTAACATTACACAACACATAATGCAGATGTTTACAAGCAGTATTTCTTCCTATGAAAACAGGAAACATAGTTAACCTTTTTACTATTAAGCTACTATTTAGCTATTTTCAAGCAAGACTAAATCATTATCTCCAGGCTTCCTTTAATTATTACACCCACATGTCCAATTCCATTTTGCAAGGTGTGACTGTAACAGGAAAGGTATTCACATTCCAAACTAAAGTGACTATATAATGAAGTAGCTGTAAATAACATCAGCAAGTTAAACAAAGCTCTAAGAAGCTACAATAGCCAAAAAGTTAAGTGCATACTGCAGGGTAACAAGAGCTTCTATGACTTAGTCCATACCCAACACAAGATGCTGCAGATGAGAACTGCAAATATTTCTAGGTTATAAAAACATTTTTAAAATGTGAAAAAAAAACAGTATTTAACCAACAACATTAATCATCTGACATTATTCATGGACACAAAGAAATTGTTTCAAATGCACAAAAAATGCACTCTGATTTCATATAAAAGATAATCTCTGATATGAGATCAGAAGCAGGAACAAAGGACTCCTTTAGTACATGGAATAAGAGGTCAAATATGACCCTTGTGTCTCAGGCCAGCACAGAGCACTTCCTGCTCACAGCGTTTATGTGCTCCCTGTTACTGTGACCTGCTGTGTTATGATTTACAGATCCTACAAAACACAGATTCAGCTGCTCTTCCCTTGTCTGCCCCAAGACATCCTTTACTAACCATCACCTTCTTTCTAATTTTCATCTAATGCTATAGAACTCCACCATACAGCCTGCATGTATCATGCAACAGAGTTTACAACCACAAAGTTCCCTACACTAAATGAAAAAACAATCATCATGCAACTTAGTTGTAGATGCATATATACTGTAGGTTATCTCTTTAGGTTTTCCTTACCTAATAATAATTTCTCAAAGTAGTAAGTTACCATATATGAGAAAGATCTGATTATATAAACTACATACTACATCTTTAAGATGAACAGGCTAGGAAAAACACCCACACTAAGTTCTCCTTTTACTTCAGGGGAAAAAAAAAAAAAAAAAATCTGCTTCATCTAGTCAGAATTTCTTTTATTTTTTTTTGGTGGGGGGGGGAGTTTAATATTGTAACTCAGTGTTTCTGCAGTCATGTCTTTTCTCTTGGTACAATATTTCATATGAAAATCTAGGAGACAAATGTTCCCAGAACTTTGGCCTAATGCAAAAAAAAAAAAAAAAATAGTCTTTAATGTAACGAGCAGCTGTAGAAATGAAGACGAAAAATAATTAACTGCCTTAAATTTGTTGTTTGAAACTCAGCATAGCTGCCACCCTGCACCTGGAGAAAGGTGTCTGCAACTTTGTCCAGTGCAAAAGGCAGTCAAACAGGTTATTTGGATCATTTAAGCATTCTTATGCTCCTTTGTCCACGTTCCTTACTCTCTTTGGAATAGCTGCTCACAGAAATGTAAGGATGTGCCTGTTGTAGAAGGTGTAGGATTTCAAAAGCTATGGCAGCAAGATAAAAGGCCTCTCATTATCTTGTAGCAACAAATACAATTCAATTCCCATCACAGAGGATTTTAGCTCGACAAGTTCAGGGAACTTGTTGTTTATTCAAGAGACAGGTCTGGGGATCACAGAAGCGCAAAGCAAGAGCACACATGATTTGTTGCTGTCTATGCAGGGCAGACTAAGGCAATGACAAACTATTATTTTTACACCTTCCAAATGGGACTCCAAAGTAGAGAATTCAAAAAATTTTAGAAGTTCTAAAGTGTGTTTTCTTTCCTAAATGAAAATATAGTACTGGCTACACAAACAGTGGGCCAAGTGCAACACCTGTAGCTACAATACTCATAACCTGCATAACCCAAAATTCCAGTTTATTGCTACTCGGTCACTGAAGTGTTAACTTGCATAAAATTACTATTTCAAATAAAAAAAAATATTTTTATGATTTAATGCATACTAAATATTTACCTGAAGTTGTTCCATGGTTAGCAACATTAATCTCTTTAGTAACTAGTTTATTGTTTGCAATCATTTCACCAAAATTAACCTCTGACTCTACTTCCAGATCACAGTATGGAATTAATCTGCAGAGAAAAGACAACACAGTATTTCCCAAAACTTGAAAATACCTTTGCATTTTAAAAGAAATTTGATTAAGAACTCCAGTGGATGAGTTCTCCTTTTGTCCTAGTGCTCCTATCAAGGTTTTGTCAACTCACTTCAGCACTACAGCATACACAGGGAAGATCTAAAATACAGGTACTTATCTATCAGCCTGTTTAATGACTTTGTATTCTAACTTGAAAACAATATAGCTATAAACAATTAGTCAAAATCAAATGCACACAATTCTGTTTTATTTTAAATACTTCATAGCAGTACTTTAAGTAAAACTATCCTGAGTTAGTTGCATCACAAATAATAAAGACCAAATAATTCACCATAATTCATTATGAGCTGCCTGAACTAAAAGCTGAGAAGTAATGCCAGTTTACAGTTTTGTGTTTGATACATATTTTATGTGACTTCAACAAAACTTATTATAACAGACAGAAGTGGGTAATGACACAAGCCATGAGCTATTTCTTATTTATTTAAGAACCTCAGCCAGTGAGATGACATCACTGTATTGAATACTTTTTAGCCATAATGAAAAGATCATGCCTCAGGAAACTTGTATCTTAAAGACTCCAATTTTCAGTACAATGACACCTCTGGTCTGGCATAAAACTGTTTCAAATCAATTGGAATTTTACATCAGCAGAGCAGTCTGTCTCCTCTCAGCCAAAAATAGGAACATACAGGAACAATTCCACCTCCTGATCCGTGTCACATACAGTACAGAAGAAATAATGGAGAAGAAAAATAAATATCCTTGGTTAAGTGAGGTAGATCCTGCCCAAATACTCTTTACTGCATAAAAGGGAGGGGAGGGGGAAGGAAGGGACAGAGAAGAAGAAATTAATCAAGTAATGTTACGATAGAATTTGCTTTCAGGAATTTCAGTTATTCAGAAATTCAATTTAATTCTTTGATAATTAATTCTTATGTAAAAAAAACAGTTATAGTAAATTCTTGAAAGACAAGATGTAAGACAAGCAGGATGTGGCAGAAAAATAAAATTAAAAAATAGGAATCATCTAACAAAGTTAGAGGACACTCAAAAATTATTGTAAAAATTTTACTTTTCAAGTACCCAGACATTTTTTCAAGAAGCTTTACTGGAAGAATGAAACAAAAATTTTTCTCCTCTCAAGATCCAAATATCTCCTTTCCCAAGTGGATAGAAATAAGCATATGTTCTAAATGCAGTGGGATTTTCTAATAGATACAGACCTGCAAAACAGAGGTAGTCAAGTTAAAAGGTTTGGGGTTAGTGTTTTAATACAGTGTGAGGTTTATTTGTTTGCTTTGGTTTGCTGTTGGGGTTTTTCCATGAAGCTGGAATTTATTACTTTTGCATAACACAAAATACATTTTGGAAAACACTGATTAAAAGAAATCATGAAGTATACTTGTTTTTCCAAACACACAAAGAAAGAGTTATTAAAGCCTGTCAACATTTCCCCTGTAAAAGACACTTTCACATGAAGATATGAAATATTTCATCTATTGCAAGTCCTTTCCAGAAAGGAGTCACCAACAGCATTATCATCCTAAGTGGCTTTACCTTCACAATACTACCCTGATAAAAATTTTCAAAAATCCTTGAACAAGTGACATTGCTCTAAAACATACACCGTATTTTTAGAATTAGGCAACGTATGTTTCAGGGTAATCCAGATTTGCAATTGTTATGAACAATTACTGTAAAATCTTCTATATCAGTGATTCAGTACAAAGGGAAGACATTAAGAGTAGTAGTTGACTTGTCTAATAATACAGCATTCAAAATTATCAACATTATCACAACCAATAATAACAGAATAAGGCAAAACTACGAATCCAGACTGTCTATGATTTTAGAGGGACATCACTCCAAAAAATTTGCTACCCGTGTGCAGCTCTAGGAGAAAAAAGAAAAATCTTATTACTTTTGTAAGAAACCTTACTGTTTTTTTTTCCATGCAATTGACAGACTAATTACAAAGCCATAACTGACACGCAGACATAAACTTTCTACAAGATTAATCTGCAAATATTAACAGCGCACATGAACTTCTCAATATCGTACCCAAGCAGGGGGATATGAACTACATCATCTTCTACTAAAAGAGTTAGTTTATCCTGAAGATCTTCTACACACTTGGGAGTATATTCCACAACAGCTTTAACTTGAAGTCCAGATGCAATGGGTTTATCTGGATTTTCCACAATCAATTTAAACTGCAATTAAAAAAAAAAAAAATTATGCTTATGCATTTCTAGATTAAGAAGGATATACATGCAGTTTATTTTCAGAAGAATGCAAAGACTGATTTAAAACTTACCATGAATTTCTATGCAGGTTTCTATAATTTTACCTCCCTATTTCTTGAAGTTCAGACTTTTCACAGGAAAAGAGAAAGAATGAATTAGCAAAATTTTCTAGTCTTTCAAAGAGAGCTCCAGCTTTTCTTACTGCTACAAAAAAAAAAACTTCTGAAGAAACACAAAATTAAATCAGCTATTACTCAGTGAAGAATATATTTAGTGCCTGAGAAAATAACAAGGATTAAGTCTCAGTTCAAAGCAGCAACAAAAGGGGACAGGTAAGAGTTTCCTCTAGGTCTGACTGACATCAACAGAAAGTCTCACTGCTCATTGAAAATCTCCTTGAAAGGCCCAAGGCATTTCCTGTTTTGGGAGTCAAATGAAAGAGAAAAAAAACAGAAAGATGGAAAGCACTCTTTCCTCTCTCGAAAAAATTATGCTGGACTTGCTGCCAGTAAGCATCTGTTTAAATGAAACACATCCTACACCCTTCCTTGAACAAAAGACATAAGTAATCCACTAGCATATAGAGGGAAATCCAACATTTTCCACATTCCTAGGAAAGCCTAGAGCTCCTCTGGTGGTTCAGTCTCCTTAAAATTCACATTACCCCGTGCACAGTGAGCTTCCACTCTTTATGTCCACTTTAAATATTTTTTATTTCTGAAAGACAGTCTTCCCAGTACTAAGTTTTCTGTTCTAGTTTATGCTTTAAATATGCAAATATCATTACTATTTGCTGTTTCTATTGCCACAGCATCTCCTGCTATTCCTTTAGAATCCTCCTAGCAGTATAAATACTCAGCTAAAGGAAATTTATGTCATGCACATCATGATTATGGGCTCGATATTGAAAGAGTAGCCATGTTTTAATTCTGAGGTGTGCAGAATCTATCTCTTCTCTAAAAAGAATTAAACAACCAAGCATACTCATTGCATACAAGGCAAAATTAATATTTTATACTAGGAACATTCAATGAAGCCTATGGAAAACTGATTGTGAGCTTTAGTCCTTGGAAGGCATTTCTTGGCTATGCACTGTAACAGCTGAAGGAAGAAGCTGTGGAACTTCTTTTGTTTTAGTTATGGCCATATTTTTCAGTGCTTGCACTCTGTGCATGTAATGCACCAGAGTGTGTTTCAGAGGAGTCATACACTTCAGAGCCTTGTAATCACAGATAGCAACACGAGGTCTGGGAATGAGAAGAGGCAACACAACAGACCTGTCTGGAACTGGGGGTGTGAAGCGGAATCTTGTCCCCTAGCTGTCATCTTGGTCATCTCACGTAAAGTGCCGTAAAAGTACACAGCAAAAGGTAAGAGTTAATCACAGAGGGAAAAAGCATAAAGCTATTATTTAGAAACCATTTTTCTTTCCTAAAATTGACTGCCTTTTCCACTTCTGAAGCACATGAAAAATTGATAAGGCTGATGAAAACAAACAAAACAGACTAAGCACAGCCCTACAAAATCAAGCACTCTCAACAGTATCCAGCTCACACCAAAATTCTTCAGCTACAGTTTAATAAGGATCACTCTTGCCCTCAAAAAGAAAGCCTCACTACCAAGGTACTTCAATTGTCTGAAAATCAGATTGATGACAACACTGATTTATTCATAGTTCAAGCCGCTATGAACAAAAAGCAACATCAGCTTCTGTTCAACCCCTGATTCCAGTTCTACCCAACCTTTTGATCTGAATTTTGTCATAATTTACAAACAATAAACCACTAACCTCAGAGGCTTCTGCTGGAGCCACATAGGTTACAAGGGCTCAACTGGTTAGAATTGTAGAGATGCATTTGCCTTTAAAAACCTGGCAATGCAATGACTTTTCTAGAACTTATCAGATGTTATTAATAGCAATCATATTATCTTGAGAAAAGATTGCAAACGTCCTCTTTTCTGAGAAAGCTTAAACCTCCTCTTTTCTGAGAAAGCTCTCAGAAAGCAAGTACCACAAGGGGACTATTCGAGATAAAAATTTAAAAGTATAGAACTTAGAAGTTAGGTATGAGAGCCGTCACTTCCCGGATTTGGTGTTTACACCACAGCGAAATACTTTTTACACAATGCTTCCCTGAAGTTAGGAGGAACTCGTGGGCTTCTTGCAGGATGAATTCTGGAGAGTACAAAGCCAGCCAAGAAGGCAAAGCAGGATCTGTTGCCAACAGGGATTTGATCACACAATCACTAAGGCTGGAAAAGACTTCCAGCGTCATGAAGTCCAACCGTTATAGGGTGATGTAGTAAGGAAAGCCATTTTTCTACTGAAACTATGGATTTAAAATAGAAGGAAGCAGTCTCTGAACTGCTCACAGCCTTGGGAGAATAAAGAACCGGGAAACTCTGAGTTCTCTTCGTTCTGCCGCTGTTCCCGCAGGCTGGAGCGGTGCGAGGCGCGGCCCCAGGCAACCGCGGCGCGACCACTGTTGGCAGAGAAGCGGCCGCGGGCACCCCCCGCCTCCGGCCCTCACCTGGGGCTCGCGTGGCGGCAGCAGCCGCAGGTGGCAGGCGTCCGCCCGCAGGTTCTGCACGGTGAGCGCGGCGCGGTAGCAGCTCCCCAGGACCGTGTTGGTGAAGCGCAGCTCGGGCGGGGCAATGCGCACCCCGCACACGTCCCGCCACCGCTCCGCCATGGCTCCCGGCCGCCAGCGGCCGCTTAGCAACGGACGCGGGGCGCTGATTGGCGGAAAACCCACCAATCGGAACAGGAGAAGGGGGCGGGCTCAGATGAACTCGGCTGGGCTCGGCTGGGCTCGAGTAAATTCGTCTGAGGTCGGCTCGGTCCGGCTGGGCTCGGGTAAACTCGGCTGGGCTCGGTTCGGTCCGGCTGGGCTCGGGTAAACTCGGCTGGGCTCGGTTCGGTCCGGCTGGGCTCGGAGCAGGTGACACAGGAAGGTGCCCAGGTGGGGTTTGGATGTCTTCAGACAGGAGGAGTTCTTCACCTGCCTGGGCAGCCTGCTCCAGTGCTCTGGCACATTCAACATAAAGTTCTTCCTCATGTTGAGGTGTAACTTCTTTTGTTTTATTTATGGCCGTTGCTCCTCGTTCTTGCACTGTGTACCACTGAAAAGAGTCTGTTAACACCCTCTTAGCACCCACTTTTGGGATATTTATGTGCATAAATGAGATCTCCTCTAAGTCTTCTCCTCTCCAGACTAACCAGGCCCAGCTCCTGCAGTCTCTCCTCATAAGAGGTGCTCCAGAGCCCTTATCACCCTTGTGGCCTCTGCTGGACCCTCTCCAATAGCTCCTTGCCTTTCTCGTGCTGAGGAGCCCAGAACCAGACACTCCAGATGTGGCCAAGTAGAGGGGGAGGATCCCCTCCCCTGACCGGCTGGCCACACTCTTCCCAGAACACCCTAGACTGGGATTTACCACTAAAGAGACACCTGAGCCAATGCCACCTTGGGGCTCAGGCTCAGGGCAGTCCAGCATGTCCTTCTGTCCACCCCAGGTGTTTCCTGCCATGGGTGCCACTCCAACAGCAGCCTGGGAGAGTGAGGGGTGATACAGACATGGGTGCCCTGGCTTCCTTAAAGATGGATTGCACGGAAATAAAAATGGCCTGATTACTCTTCTGGGCCTCCATGTCAATCACAGACGCGGCCTACATAGAACTAAAGCAGTGCTGGTGGGAGCTCAGTGCAGTGCCAGCAACCACATTAATAATTCATGGCACGCATTTACTGAGTGGTGGAAGATGTGTTCCTGCTCTGAACCTTCCTGTGCTCTAATTTAAGTGGTAAAATGAGGTTGACAAGATTCTGGCACTTAGACTTGAAGTGTTATGGGCCACTCCCAAATTTTGCCCTAAACCAGGACAGCCACCTTGTGCTTGCCTTCAAAGTAGGAGAATAAAGTAGGGAGAACACACACATCAGGCAGAGAACCTCAGACATTAGTTCTGATTAACTCAAAATGTTTTGCCTTGGATTACTTCATCTCTTGGAAGTGCATAAGGACTGAAATTATTTATGTTTTAAAAGTCTGATATGAGGAGCTGCAAACACGGATTGCACAGATCAGAACTACAAAGTACAAAAAACCCTCTAATTTTTAATAGGTCAAGAAACCTAGAGGGAAAAAGGGGAGTGAAAAGCCTTTGTTTCTGTTGCTGGAGAAGGATGCTAACAGGTATTTTTGTCCCTCTTAAGGATGCAAATTTTAGCTACCCATCTGTAGCTCACTAAAGAATGTGCTAGAACATGGCATTGCAAGCACTAAGAGTAAAAGCATCTGAGGGACTTCCTTGGGAAGACTTCTTGAATCTATTTTATGGTAACATAGTTGCACTTAAAGGAAACACACACACACAAAAAAAAAAAGTGAAAAATTAAAAGAGAGGATTACCTTATCAAAGAATTCAATTCTCTCTTATTTTTCAATACGGAGTAGAGGACACTCCTACATAGTTTCTCTGGCCCTTTGATGGTAATTCCTTCATGGCAGAATTGATTTTTAAAGATTTCTGTCTCTGCTGCTTGCTACTGCCCTCACTGACAAAGTTACCACTCCACAAGAGAATTAGTATCAAAGAACACTGGTCTATTTTCCCTTGATTTGACATAGATATGTCCATAGAAGATTAAATGAAATCTTTAAAAACCAAATTTAAACTGAGATTTAGCTTGTGTATAGAGAAATCAGGTTCAGCATTAAAAGAATCCTGAATTCTGAAACAGTTTGGCTAGGCTCTCTTCCTCTTCTGCAGCCTATTATATCCAAATGCTTATTATTTCCATCACTATGATAGCTCATTATGAAACACCATTAGATAATGGACTCTTCTCCTTCCTTTTATCAGCTTGGTCTGGATTCATAAGCATTTTTTCTTGGTCAACTAATAATCATCCCCAAACTGAAGACTATTTTTGTAAAGGAACAGGTATGCTTTGTTGAATCCTTTGATGATAAAGGATGACAGAACCCTTTATACTTAATGCTAGGGTACAGATTATGTATTGTCATTCTCTTTATAATCTGACCACATTAAGAGTGATTTTAGTTCTACAGAAATTTTACAGTAATCAGAAATTTTACAGTACATAAATTGTGCAGTAATCTGTACAATTCACATTGCATTCACTTTATCAGTATCAGATGATGAATAAAAAAGCTTCACACCAAACTTCTCACTATTGTCATCAGAGAGAAGAGTACAATCTTAGATAAACCTCCACCACACCTCAATATCCGATTCACTTCCAGCTTCTCTAAGCCAGACTTTCAGATGTGAAAGTTCCTTGGCTATCCGCTGATCTGACTTTCGTCTCAGCTTTCAGGCAGAAAAAGATTGCATTAGGTTTTTTACATTTAATAAAAAAGGCTAATTTGCTTAACATTGAATAACTCCTAGCTTGTTTAGATCAATCCTGGGGCCATGGCCAGTGCAAAACAAGATGCAGAATCAGAAAACCATCTCCAGTGTGCTTTCTCCAGCTGCACAGAGGAAAGCTTTATTTGAAAATATGTATTATTAGAAAATATGTAGACAGAAAGACCTGAGACACTGATCCTTCCTGTCCATGTTCTAAACACAGGTCAAAGATTCCTGGACAGCATCTGAGTCTTCTGTTAGATCAGATGTAGCTCTCACTTATCCAGGAATCTCTAAAAGGCCAGAGAAATCCCTTCAGAAAGTATTCCAAAGGATAAAAAGGGAGCAGTTAAACTGATTGTATGGGTGGTTTATTTGACAGTAATTCAGCAACAAGAAATGACAGGGATGTGAATAAAATGTGAAATAATTAAAGTAATTTGAAGAAACTGCGACTCATACTGCCCTTCCTTGCTGGAATCTGAATCCAGAGGAACTGTGATTTGAAATGTGAATGTTGACCTATTTATTCTACTTTGAGAGGAATAAATATTTTTAGTATATACAAGAAGGAAATACCACCACTTACTGGTTAAACAAAGGGTGTATATTTTAGTATCAGCTTTTAGGAATCAGAAGCAGATAAAGTCCAAATAATGAGGACTAATAATATATTCCTTTGCATTTAATCTTGCAAATTGCTCGGTTTAATGGAAAACGAGGATGTTCAAAATGACAGATTAGAGCTCTAATTCTCTCTAAAGGTCTCTTCACTCAGCAAAGCATTTTGTGAGAGGCAGAACTAATGAAGATTTTATTGGGTCTTTTTTGCTGAATGAAACCATCAGTCTTCAAAAAACATGTAAGAATTGCCAATCTCTGAGGTGTTCCTCCATCTCAGACTGGGCAGAAAGGGGCATGACCAAAATTGTTTCAAAAAGTGAGCAAGAGAGAGATTCTTAGACAAGGCAATCACAAACGCCTTTCCTTTTTAAAGTGACTCTGTAGGAATTGGTAAAGGAAAAACCTGTACTGTAAATACAAACAGTCGCCATTATTTGACAGTATAGTTTAGGGCCTCCCAAGCCACACACTGAGTTATTATATTTGTCATGGAGCAGAATCAGAGTGGTTTTACCAGCACAATCAGACAGTTTAGCTAAACAGGAGGTCAGCCACAGTACAGTTGGAACATGACAATACTGATCTGGGGATCAAGGCTACTCCCAGCACTCAGTGCTGAGCTGAACGTTTTGATCTTATGAGCTCACAGCAGTTAATCCAAAGATTTCAGCACCAGAGTACAAATGCGCCCTTTGTTTCCTGCAGTAGGCAACACTGGAAATGTTTTCTGCGTCTGGCATCACTTTTATTCACAATTTGTGAAAGCATCCATGTTCATCAAAAATTTAGAAACTCTAAAAGCATCCATATCCACTCCCAGATTTCAAGTATTAGACAAACACAAAAATTGCAGGGTAGAAAGAAAAACCCTTGAACCACACTGAGAAACATGATGAAGATCTATCTTTTTGTGCTGGGCAGATAATCTCTGATCAAAACAGAGCCCAGAAACTGCATAAATAAATGTAGATAACAGGAAATTCAGGTAAAGGATGGTTCTGAAAATCCCACATATACATTAGTGCTTCTTCAACAGCTGTCTGTGGTTTTCAAATACTCCTATAAAATCTCAGTATTTACCATGCTGAACTAGAACAGTAGATTTACCAGGTAGCACGAGGTCAACAGCTATTGGCATCAGTGAATCAATATTAAATTTCAGCTATACACAACTAAGATGTGATTTTCTATAGTTACTAATGGTGAGATACATCTCACCACACTTCACTGATTGAAAATCAATGTCCAGTCCAGGCTTCAACTATGGTTAGGAGTGAGACAAGTACCTTCAGAGGATGATCATTCTCCTCCCCTTATATAGGTATTTGAAATAGAATTCCATATATCACATTGGCTTTGTGTGGGTCTCCGGGTATCTAGTTACTTATGCAATTTCAAGAATCTTTTCCATAAGCAGAAATGGTGAGATTATTGAAAAGCATTGTTCATATATTAGTTACTTTTTTATTGCCAAAAATTTCTGCTGAATTATCATGTTGTAGAATTGTATGTATTTTTATTTTATATGTATCTTATACAGTTTATATGAAATTTATCCAACTTCCTTACAATCCAAGTGCTTATCTTAGATAAATTAAATTTGCATTCTGACCATCTAGAGTATTGGATCACTCCCTGGCTGTCAATTTTTTTAGGTACTGATCCTTCTGAGCTGCTTGATGTTTTTATCTC